TAGAAAGGGAGATGCACATGGAATTGTGTGCTTTGTAAAGGACTCTTTGCTATCAATTTCAGTCATTGGAAAAGTCATGCAGATTTTAACAAACTCTATGCTTACTGTCGTACTATTTACCCATGTGCTTGCTTATATTATTTCTGGAAGGCTTGTTCTGAATACCCTTGGATCATCACTTCAAGTGGCTTACTTCTTCAACAAATATGTATTGACCACCAACTATGTCCTGGACATTAAGGACATATATGCGACAACACAGACATTTCTCTTTTTGGAATCACCTCATGGAAGGGTGTAATGATAATTGAAGTACATGGTGCAGAGAGAGATGCCTATGATTTGAGGATCCAGAGGAATTTCCCTAGAGGTAGCAATGTCTAAGCAGAAAGTTGAGAACTGGAAGAAGTTAGCAAGGTAAAGTGGATGTTAGGTTAAAAAGGGATGATAAAGTGGCAGATAACAAATCTGGGAGCAATAGAGAAGAGCCTGGTCAAAGAATTGAAAAATAAATACAGGTTGTCTAGATTCAGTACTAGAGAAATGATGAGAGGCAAGGCAAGAAAAGTAGACATGGGCTGAGACAGATGGGCCTGGTAAACCATAAGGGATTTGAGAGTTACCCTGAGAAAAAGGAAGAACTTCAATTTAAAGACTTATAAGCAGGGAACAACGATTCTGGCTTCTGTGCAGGGTAGGACCAACTATAGTGAGACCTGCTATTGTAGCAAGCCAGACAAAGGTACTAGTTGCCTGGCCTTAGGTTGTGGCCATGGGGATGCTGTGACGATGGCAGTTATTGTACATATGGAGCCTGAAGAAGGTGCTGGTTTTGAATTGTGACTGGGGATGACGAGAAGGATATGATGGGCAAGTTTTGGTTTCATCAGCTGTGTGAGTAGTGACACCATTCCCTGAGACAGGGACCTAGGAGGGGTAATGTGGCAGAGGAGCAGGGGACAAGGTCATTGGTTCTGCACATGCTGGTTTTGAGATGCCTCCTGCACATCGTAAGAACGTAGTTGCAACTGAGCTTAGAGTGGTGGGGTGGGGGGAGGGAGAGACAGACATACCAATGGGATCTTAGTCCCTAATCTTTTTAGGAGTTTCCTACAGAAGAGGTGTTTGGTTGAGTGGGACAGGGATGGATAGGGATTGAGGAGTGAACGGGACAGAAGTAGGGATAGTGAATATTACATCAATTTCCTAGAAGTTAGTCTTCAAGGGGATGCAAGAAATAGGAGAGCAGCTACAAGGGTACATGGGATGGTGAAAGGGCTTGTTATACAAATGGAAGATACCTGAATGTGTTTAAGTGTATTTAAGGCAGAGTCTGCAGCGGAGAAGTTGACCTGACAACTTCTAAAAACCTGTAGTGGACGTGGGTCATTTAGGGCAGAGGAAGAAAGAATGTCATCAATTTCTATTATAGTAGAAGAGAAGTGAAAAAATAAGGGCGTTAACTGTGTGCACATTTTCACTGTGGTAGGGTTTGAAGGAGTATCATCGGTGGATTTTTTTTCCTTTGAATTAAAGATCATAAGAGAATAAGAAAGGTAGAAATTAGAGTAGAAAAAACCTGAATTGTCACCAAACTATGTAGGTGACTATCGTCACCTGTGTAGGTGAGTTTGAAGACTGAATTTGTGACGGGACCAATCTGGACCACCAAGTGAATTTTCCCCACTTCTCTCATGACGTTGAGTGAACTAGAGCAGGTACAGATGCAGAGAAAGGAGACAAGTGGATTATTATAGAGTTTGACTTTTTCCAAATGGGGCAAGAAGAAGAGTGATGGGGTAAGGGAGTGGGTGGGTGGCATTGGTGTAGATGAAAATTTGATCTGTGTAACTTAAGTGGGAAGGGGGAGAAGGTGGAGTTGTGCAGGGCCTGGCGAGGAATGCTGAGAGGTAGGCACAGAGGGAGTCACTGGGTGAGAAAGTGTGGTAGGAGATGAGTGCGCAGCGTGGGATGTTTCGATTCATTATTGCAGAGTTAGAGTGGTTCTGGGGATTTCTGAAATCGGTATGTGGGTGGCGTCAGTGAAGAGAATACAAACAATCATTAGGAATGAAGTCCAAGATGATAATGGATTCTGTTGGCTCTATTGCCCATGCTGACACCCAAGTCACCTCTAATGATGAGAGCAGAATGGAGGCTGAAGAAATCTAAGCCAGGTATCAGCGTCTTCAAGGAATGAAAAGAATGATTGAGAAGTCAGTAGATGGCTGCAGTGGGGAGGGGACAAAGGTGCTACTCATCAGTCAACATGACCCTAGAACAATAGGGCTTTGTATGTGTGGATGAAGAAGGAATTGTGTGGAACTAGCAATAAGGAGCCACGTGGATGACCAACTCTTTCCAGCCTTAGGGTAGGAGGTGGTGGGAGAATTGGCTTCCACCTGAGGTAGTTGTAAAAGAGAGATAAAGCATGGATAAGGAAAGGGAAATTCCTAGAAGAAGTCACCATAAAAAGGGAGTTCACCACCTTTGCATTAATGTCATGTACAGTCCATTAAAATAGAAGAGACTGGCCTTCAAGTGTGGACTTTCGATCAAGTATATCACCACCACTTGTACATTAGAAGTCCCATCCCAAAGCTGTTGAGTCAGAAACTCAGGTCCCAGGGCCCAGAAATCTGTATTTTTTACCTGCTCTCCAAGTGATTCTGCTGAATGCTAAGTTCAAGAACTCCTAAACTAAATCTAGCCTTCTAACATGGAAGGACTATGAAAATCCAACCAACATGAGTAGGGAGGAAGGTGATTTAGAAGGTAAACATTTGATGTTTAAATGGATGGCAACTCCATGCTTACTATGCAAAGGTACAGATTTGTACCCTAACAAAAGTGTGGTCCTCAGCTTCACAAACCTGCTCTAAACTGCCCAAACATCATTATGTGCTTTTGCGTGTACTCCTGTTCTCCCCGTGGATAATTCAGACCCCCTTTACTTTCTTTAAATGTTTTTTCTTTTCCCTAGTACTGGTTGTTGAACCCAGAAATGCTCTCCCACTACACAATATCTCCAGACTATTTTTTAAATTATTTTTATTTTGGTGGGGTCTCGTGGAGTTATCCAGGCTGGCCTTGAACTTGCCATCCTCCTGCCTAAGCCTCCCAAGTAGCTGGGACCTCAGGCATGCATCACCTGCGGTGTCTTTAAACTTTTAATCCTCTTTAGCCACTTAGTAGATGATCTTACATATAGCAAACCTCAAATGAAAAATCTTTTCAAGTGATTTTTACTTACTTTATATAAAACATAGTCTTAAACTTGAAAAAAGTCTTAACACATTTCCTTTGGTTTGAGAACTACCTGGGCATGATCCATTCAAACAACGTGGATTATTTTACCCATTGTGCACATCAATAAAATTCCTGAATCTTGGTGATTTTGTTGCTGTTGGAACTTGCATTGTTTGCTTAAAAATATTTGAGAACCTGCTGTGATTTGAGTTCATTTTTTAGTTACTATCTAGTAGAGAGAAAAAAACATATAATTATTAACAATCTGATAAGAGTTTAGCAGTGATAAACACAAGGAATTATTTAAGTGGAGCAGTATTTCAACTTGGCAGGAAGGGGTGGTTGGTAAGTTGATGCACAAAGAACAGCATATGTTCTTCAGATGGATAGTAGGGGTGGGAATGGAGAGGATTTCAGGCCCAGGCAAGAAGAGCTAAAGGAATCATGGAGTGGTTTAACCTGGGAAAACATTTGGGTGAGGGTTGCTGACCAGCAAGATAGGATGCTCTATCAAGCACAAAACGTCAGATCACAGCAGAGTTTGTGCTTGACATCAAAGTGTCTGCATGAGAATGGGTAACTACTGGACAACTTTTAAGCAAGGGAAGGAACTTGATTAAATTCCCCTGCAGAGCTGTTGTTAGGAAAAGTGCCTTGGCACATGCTCTTGGATTATATTGAGAAATAATATCAAAAACGTCTGTTGTATTTATTGTAGTGGGGCCCTAAAAGGAAATGCCCTTCATAAGAAACCGCAAATGAAAAATCTTTTCAATTTGATTCCTTTGCTTTATTTAAATCATCATCTTTAGGGTGACACAGGGTATGAAGTAAAGGTGGTTATTAGTTATGGGGGGCAATTAGAAGACTTTTGAAGTCAAAGTCATAAACAAGGTTGTTGGTGACAGAAACGAAGAGAATGGGGGAATCTGAGATTTAGGAATTGGACTTGAGGGGGCGTGGTCATGGATAAGACGCTATGTGTGAGAGGATCAGGTGGTCCATGAGAGGTGGGTGGTATCTCAAAGGATTCTAAAATTTCCATCTTGTGTGCCTGGGTGGCAGAGGGTAAAGTTGGCACCATTCACTATGATACAGCAGCTTAGCAGAGAATCAGGGTGAGGGTGAGGATGATGAGCGCCTGTGGGACAGCCAGGTGGACATGGCTAAGGCAGTGGTCAGGAAGGGAAGAAGAAGTCTGAATGGAGATAAAAGACTGAATGAGCTGTCCTGGAGAAAGAATGTGTAGCAAAGAACAAAAGCCACAAGAGGGGATGAAGGCCACAGCCCTGAGGGTCATTATTTAATGATCAGGTAAAGGAGTAGAACCAAAAGTAAGAAAACACAAGCAGAGACACGTGTGACAGCAGAGTGTCTGAGGGTCGCAGTGTTTTCTGGTTCTCTGAACTTAACGCCAATGGTAAGATCAGGAAAGATTAGTAGTGGAAGGTGCTTTCATTTGAGACTTGCAAATAATTGGTGGCTGGGTGGAGGCATTTAGTCAACCATCATTCACTAAGTAGCTATTAAGTGATTATTATAATCTACCTTCTAATCTCACAGTATGACTAATTTGATGGGGTGGAGAAAAGAGACAACTGAGTGTAAAGTCAGTCAATTCACCAAGATAGGAAATTCTGGAAGAAAAGTGAATTTGGAGGGGAAATCTCAATTTGAAAACATTACTTAAAAACCCAGAAATTACTAGTTCTTAAAGACCACCATAATTAGGCATGTGTACGTAGTTGAATGGTGGTGGTATGATATTGTAGAAAAGCAGAATAAAATTCTGTGTGGATTGTGTTGGAATCAAAGAAAACAGGCCAGGGTTGTCATGAATATCAATAAAGCTTTATAACAATACAATTCATTATCATTGTTTGGATTAATATGTAATAATTACACACTTTTTACATTATGAAAATAAGTCATAAATAGTGTAAAAATAATTCTGAAGATCAACTTCTCACAAACTAAGAACCCTGAAACAAGTTTAAAAAGCAAATAAAAAACAAAGTAGAAACTGAACAATTCTCTGAAACAATGCAATTATCTCCAAACTGCAAGTCGAAAACTTTGTGTCTTTTGCTTCAATAATGTCAGCTGGAGAAATTACAATGAAACTGAAATAAAAAAGCAAACGGGGAGAATTCAACCTTTCAAATATTTACATTAGTGAGATAATCAGGTCTGTGCCATATTTACAGTGATAAGACACAACACATTCTTAAAATAATCAATCACATGAGACTGGCCCATGAAACATTCAAAAAATGCAATGTAATGTTTGCCAATTTTTTTTTTTCATTTTCCTCTTATTTTGTGTTTATGTGAGTTTTTGGCAATATAAAAATAGCTGCACATATAGATGAACTTTAAAATGTAAAAAACACAAATAAAAATATAATATTTCCTAAAGAAAAATAAGATACATACATCTTTTAAAAATGTCAAGTTGAATGAAACATTTACAACAGTATAAAGAATATTCACATAAATGTCAACAATATGTAAGACATTCTTTTGTGAATCCAACTCATTAATTTTTCTGAGATATGAGAGAATATCAACTGCATTTTGAGAAACGTTGGTAGTCTGTCAATAAATCAAACATCAAACATAACAGGTCAGGTTGAAAAAGTCTTCCTTTTCCCCAAGAACAGTTCCATCAATAAGCAGCATAGATAATTTATTCTCTTAAATGTATTTTTAATGAAAATGCCATTAATATGTTTATTGGTATTGGATTGGCAAAAAACTAAATCTACTAAAACTTCAAGTTAGAGGAGCATTTCTGTTCTGGCATATAACAAATCTAGCCAATATGAAGACACGTTAGGGGAAAATGGGAAGGAGTATGGACTGAAGGTCTTTATATTCTAAAATAATTCAGCAGAATCATGATTGGTTAAGCATGTTTAGGACGTGTGATTTTTTTGACAGGTTGTATCACATGTGATTTCTTCTTTTTGGAAAGATAATGTTCCTAGTGGACCTTGACTTCCTAGAGATAGCAGGGTTTTTATTTGTTGAAGTTAGAAAATTCTATTTTTAGTAGTATTAAATATTAATATAATTTGATTATCAAGAAATAGAGGAAAAACAAGGTTTCAAATAGGTAAAGCTATGCTGATTTGATCATTTTCCAAACACACACATTGTGGACAAAGGACATGTAGTATAAACTACAGGATGCATAAATTCTTGTCCCATTAGAACATCATATGCACAAACTGCAAATTCAAAAATAATACCTTTCTATTGGTACAAATGAAAGGCATTCTAATGTTCTCTATAAACTCAGATGATAAAGAAAACTCCTCCAGGCCTGCTGTTGAAAATGCAAAGTGAAAACTGGAAGAGGAGTGTAGGCGTATTCATGCAACCGCGTGGAGTGTACAGACTCCTCTATCACTGATTGTATCAAGTTTCATCAAATTATATAAGTTGAAAAGATGAGTCAGTGAAAAAGAACAAAAATTGATAAAGGCACAGTATGTATAAAATTAACATGAAACAAAGGGACCCATGATCCAAGTAAAAACACATTATCTATAGGCACACTTTACATTTAAGAGAGGATGGTCATTGAACCATAATTAGAGCAAATTCATGAATTTTAAAAGTAAAATCACACACTGAGTTTAGGAATGCTAATAATCAGAGAAATGAAATTATCCATAGTAGAGTTGCACTGTCCATAAAGAAAGAATAAAATACATTAGCACCAGCCAATGTGAATGGAAAAGTTTTAAAGCTAAAACACGACAATTTGCATCTTTTAAAGATGTTTTCTCAGAAGTAAACTTTGATTTATTTCCAATGTGTCTTTCATATATTTTTCTCAATCCTCTATCCAATAATATAAATTAAAAGAAATATTTAAGAAAGATGTTTATCAACATATATCAACAATCATGATTATTCATTTGGAAGTTATCTGAAGACTCCCTGTATTGATGACAAAATGGATGCATGAACATACTTTAATAATGCAAAACTTTCAGATCATCTACGGTGTTTAAGACCTCGCAATTCCACTGAATCAGGAGGAGTGACATCATCCCATTGTTTTTCCCAAGGTAATAAATGAAATGTAAGTTTACAACTTCCTTTAATCATGGAATAAGTTGATGCTGTCAAATCACTTAACTCAAAATCAAAAAACTCAATATACACACAGGACAGCCCCGTATTCCTTAAAGGGCCAAGTTCTAAAACTTTGTTTATATGTGAAATGCTTCTCTTTTGATGTCGAGGTATTCTTATCTGAAGCTGTGTAAGTTTTAGGTAGTGATCTCAATACCTCTTTCTACTAGAAGAACAGAAAGAAGGATAGAAATATAACTACCAGACTTTTTTTCAAGATGTTAGTTGGTTTTTCTAAACAGAATGTAGTTCCACTCCAGTTCACTTTTCCCAAACCATTTAAGACGAATCATTTCAGACGTTGAACAATAACTTATCCTACCTATGCCATATGAGGCACTCTATTATTTTCAAAATGCTAAGTTGGCTTGGGGTGTGGAATGTTACAAGAAATACTACCAAGTAGACTAATCTAATAGTTTAAACATGTCTTTAACCTTGGAAACAAGATAAATTAATTTAAAAAGACACCATTTTGAATCATTCAAATCAGCAATGAGCAAATTTCCCCTCCGGTGGTTTAAAAATAAAAACCACAAAAAAAAAAAAAAAAAACTTATTCACAAAACTAGAAATTTCCCAACGAAATGGCATTGAATCCTTGAAGGAAATTAAAATCTCTACTGAGCTAACAGGTGACTACTATCAACAATGTTTCTCCTCATGTAACCTTTCCACTTAAGCCACTTCAAAACATGCCACCAACTTCTTACTGTGCAAAGAAGTGCTCAGTCTAATATGGTTAGGTAATCTTTGAGCAAGTAGATGAAAACATACTTATGGCAACTGTATTTCACAGCTTTTTGAGAACTTGGGTTTGGTCTGTGAATAAGAAACATTAAAAATATTAAAAAGAAAGAAATCTATAGAAAAAACAATCATAAGAAATAGAAGTGAGCTAATGCTCTAAAATCTTGTCTATCAACTGATAATTTGTTACATTCATCATGTAAAAAAAAGTCAAAAAATACTGAAAAAAAATGCTTAACTTTCATGCTTTACAATGATTAAACTGAAATCGAAGTTGCTTTTCTCTTCAGTTATCTAAAACGAGAAAGATGTCATTTTGAGTGTTGGCACCAAATTATGATTTGATGACTTTTCTTAAAAATATTGCTTGTGACAGACGTGACAAAAACTGAAACAAATATTTTCTAAATATTCCTGGGACTAAAAATGAAACCCAAAAAATATTTTAAAAAGAATGGAAAATATCTATTTGTTTCTAGAACTTGTAGAAAATGTTTGGTATGGCTGGATCTTGGAAGGAAAGAAAGCTCTCACATCAACTTTGGTAGAGATTGTACCGGTGAGCTCCTCTGCACCTCCAGGAGAGGGCATTTTGGCTGCCCCTTCTTGGGACATGGTACTTCTTCAGCAATCTGGGCTTAGATGCAATGTACACACCCATTGTCCTCAGGAACAGGGACTGCCATTCCAAGGATCTCCTGTGGCAAAAGAAGTGCTGCATGGCTCTTTCTCCAAAATCACCCAGATTAACACTCACTGGAATTCAATTTATTAGAAAAAAAAAAAAGTCTGCTGTTCTGGGTGTTCGCATTTGTAAACCTCTTTCCTACTTGGTCACATGAGAGATGGCGCAGGATGCTGAACCGGTCCTCTTCCCATGTCTTCACTGCCAAGAGCAGCACCAGGAAAACCCGCGGCAGCAATCAGCTCACCCCCTTGGTATTTCAGCCAAGGTGGCCCCATGAGCTCACAATACTGGAAGCTGGAGATCTGCAGCTGGGACTGCAACTCCCTCAAAATGATAGACCAATTGTGTGCTTTCCACCAACTTATCTCTTTTTGGCAATAAGCCATGGTGTAACCCCCTTGAGATGACAAAAGGAATAAAAGCTCAGATGTAATCAAAGGACTCATAAAGCAGCATGCTAGCATCTGAATTTGCACAAGGACAGGCAGGTTTGGCACACAATCATGCTTTTTTAGTCAGTTTCAGTAGGTGGTGTGGGCACGAATCATTGCTAACAGGGAAGGTGACTGGGGATGTGATAGCAAACTCCAAAGTCAGTCAGTATGGTACATGTTCATAGACTTGAGTCCATATTTGGTCACAATTTCATTGTAAACTATGTCATGGCACTTTTTGTCCATGCAATTCACAAGCCCAAAGTAAGAAAATAGCAAGAACGACCATTCTCTATCACAGATGTCCATATAAATACATATCTTCACATAAGATAAAGAGATACTGATCTAGATTTCTTTGCAGACTTCTCACTGGTTTCATAAATTGCCCAATTTCAGATGTAAGTGGAATAGAGATGGACATGTGTACTACTGCGGACAGGAAGAAGCAGCTCTATGTAAACATATCTCAGACTTGTAAAATCTGCAATTCTGTTTTCAACTATAAATATAGAAAGTGGACCATTATATACACAACTTCATGCTTGGAAGGTTAGATTCATCACTGCAGAAAAACAGACAATAAAAAAAGACAAATACATGGCATTAGTAGTCTTGGATAACAATTCCAAATTAACATTTAAGAAAGCTGGTAGAACCTTGACTACAGTGTTTATCAATGCGCTAATGGAGCACATGGTGTGTGTCCCGGATCTAACTTTCTGAACTCCAGAATATTACAAATTCCATATTAAATTCAACCCCTGTTTTCCTTTACCACTAAGAAATTTTTGATGTTTGTTTCGGTAACTGTTCTGGGAAAGCAGAAAATTTAGGATTTTATCACATAGGTAATTATTAAATTCCATTTTGTATTTTGTGCCTTTACATAACCTTCCAGCATTAAAGTGGAAAAAGTTTAGGATTCTGACCTCAGTGATGCTGTTCACTTCACCCACACCTGTCTATGTATAATGGTACATAGGCCTACTATTCTAGGTTGTGTTTTCCTTTGGCTCTCTCTGTCTTGCTGGAATGTTGGGCAAGGAGGACCTTCCTGCTCTCAGGGCTCAAGCTGTATGACAGGTTCCATTGTGATGTCCTAAGACACCGCAGAGCCCAGGCCCCTCTTTCTGAGCAGCCATTATTTGAAGATATTCCTAGAATAGAAATAAGATCTGAGAGTCTGAGGAGCAGTGTTGAGATGTGATTTCATAAGGAAGTTCTGGGAGACTTCCTTGACATTGACCCAAAGAAAAATTGGAAAAGTAAAATGCAGAGGAAAGTGAAATGATAGCAGTCTCTTTATGCAGCTCCATAGGCATGAGGCGTCTTTCAGCTTATTCATTAACAACATTTACTTTTCTAAGAAACACAGATGCTCTACTAGGTGTGCATAGCAGGTTGTGTGCTCTCTGACTTTGAGAGATGCTATTCACTTTGCTTATGCACACCATCCTATCAATGCCCAAAACTCTTGTCTATAGGAAGCATTCTTTTCTCCAAACTCACTTTTCTCAGATTTCAAATTTGATGCAAGTTTGGGTACCCAAACCAATGTATTGCAAATAAATTTACAGAATTTTAAAGATTCTTTTTTTTTTCAGGGTTTAAAACTTCACTTAAAAAAACACCTCTTACTTGCTGTTAAAAAGATTCTGTTAACCCTACCTGGAAAAGTTAAGTTCAGTGAAGTATTAAATCAGATGAAGCACAGGGCTAGAGGTATTTCTCCTAGTGAGTAGTTTCCAACCTATGAATGATGATGGATGATGATAAGCTTAATAGCCTCTTAATACATTCTGCTATTTACTCACTATACAAATAACACTTGGACTAATGCATTATACTTCAGTTCTAGCTTAGCAACTCTTTCTGTGTTGATAAATTTAGAAAACTGAACTATATCCAGAAAGAAAAGCAATTTGAGCAAAGATCAAATAGTTCTGCATTAAAAAACACTGAACGTGGCATGCCAAGAAAACTTGTTAGTCACAGTGATTTACACTGCTGCCACAATCTGAATTTTAAGTCACACAGACATTTGCCAGTGTGTTTACAGTCTAATAAACACAACAGTGTTTATGAGGGTATCCCACAGAAAATAGGACTTGGTGAACACCCTCGACTGGACTTATTTTTAAAATATCACTTAAAAATTATTGGACTTGACTATTTGAGATAGCTGAGTTAACCACATAAGAAATTTGAGAACATTCCACTTCTCTAATTTTTTCTTTTTGGTGGAGAGGGTTGAAGGAGGTTGGTCAGAGTGGACTTGCATGAGTATGTTTTGGGGTGGGGAGTTAAGCAATACTGAAGTTTTTTCACTGAGATTTTTTTTCTTTGTGTAATAGATTAATAAAATACTTAATCGTATGTAGGATATAGTCAGTGTCTTATGGAAAAATGTGTTTTTCCAGGGAGACTTCTGATTTTCTAACACCAGTCATCTTATTAGCACGTGTTTCATTTCATGAACCCAAATGATGATGAGGCCTTTGACTCTTGCCATTACTTTTGTGCCTTCACAAGAAAGGAAGGGCTTCAAAAGACAGCCACAAACCAATAGTGACCCCAAACTCTGAAGCTGGATAAAGAAATCGGTTTGCATGCATACATAGTGACTAAGGGCAGCCGTATGAAGAGGGTAGAATAAACGGATGCCTCTCCCTCTAAGTGTACTAATGACTGGATTAAAAAATCATTATATTATTGGATTACAGGGCAAAGGTTAGAAAGCAAATAGTGATTCCAGCACAGGATGGTATTGCCGATTGTGTGAACAGGGCTTTTGGTGGCCAGAGGATAGATTTCTTAGGTGAAGAAGAGGTCCATGTCCTGAGACCCACCTGACCTCAGAAGTGATCCAACTAATTATCTGACAGGATGAAAGTGGAGTATGAGAAGCTACTAAATAAATGACACTATTGAGAGGTTTTTCTTTCCCTGGCCAAGTAGGTGAAACTCTCTAAGAAAGACAGTGCACAGGTTTCCTCAGTGGTGGAACTGCTAACAGGAGAGGCAACCAAGAGTCAAGTGTCTCCTCATGTTTCTGTAATCCTACATAGTTTTGTTAACTTACATAATTCTTCCAATGTTATCTAATTTTAAAATTTTTTTACATAATTTTCCCAATTTTTGTTTTGTAATTGTACATAATTTTGTCAATGAAGCATGCCTGTCCCAAAATACCAACTGAGCTATAAAGTGTTGGAGAAAAAATCTAAAAATGATCAAAGCAGCTCTTATACTGCCCCAAGATCATTTTCACTTTAATGGGCTCCCTCGGTCCTTCAGTAGCACACCATCCTTTATAACTGAGTTCACACAATTACTAGGTGAAGACTTGGTATTTCCTGAGAAGCACAGCATATGCTGCTCTTTTTTGGCTTCAGGTTTTGCTGTTGTTTTCTACTCTCTAACCTCTAAATTCTGTGTCTGGAGAGCTAGACATACCAGTTCTGTGCTCTGAGAAGTTCCTTCACCTCTCTAAATTTGTTTCATTAGTAGGTTACCGCACGGATTAAATGAAATGATTCCCCCCCATGTGAGAGTGCCTATGGCACAGCCATTGTATACAGAACATCCTCTATATAGGACATGGTCCTGCTATATAGGACATGAGTATGCAGTGACTAAAGGCAGCCACATGAAAAGGCTAGAATAAGCTGATGCAGGAAGGGTGCCAATTGAATCAGGTTCTCCTAGATAAATCAAGGCATCACTGAAAAAAAAAATAGTGTATATTTTCTGCTTTCTCAGCTTTGTGACTAATATTGACAGGGTTCTACCATATATTGTCATATTGGTCTAAGTAACTGAATATAAGTAGAAAAAGAATCACAATTGGAGATTATGCTGAACAATAGAGGACAAAGAATTTGACCAGCAAACCATTAAGACCCACTGCCCCTTTCCATTCCAAACAAAGGATCAAGTCGGGAAGGTTTCGAGGTTTCAAATTATGATGTTTGTGAAGAACTGTTTTCACACATCAGCTTAGAAAGAAATCGGCAATAAGTACATTCATCAAGATATTGTGAAGCCGGAATCATTCATGAGTGTCAAATGCAAAAGATCTGTTCTGAATGAAAAGGGCCAGGCCAGGTCAAGAGAAAGGAGAGTACTTCCTTTAGAAATCATTCCATGACACCTACCTTTTGCCAACAGCCAGGCATGGGTAATCCATCTGGGCCCTGTTTTAAAAAGAAAAAGAATTCCTCAGACTCCTCAAAAATGATCGAACTTCATAGTTCACATGCCCACGGGCTTAAAAAATAAAAAAGATTTCTGTTAGGTGGCTTTAGTCATAGCCATCTTTTACTAATTACTATCTCCCTATATATTAAATTTTTTTCCAGTGAGAACATGTTTTAAAAATACATAAATTATAGAAAAAGCTATTCCTAATGTTGGAGAAGAAATTTACAAAGCATGGTGGTCTTAGGATCTACTCAGTTTATATCTTTAGATAAGAAATCTGTACTATATCTCCTCATTTCATTTAAAGACATTCACAATTATCTTTATTAAGTAAATCAAAAAATATCTTCTCTTTCTGGTCACTATGGACTCTGGTTGAATTCATGATAATGATAAATAATCAATGATAAACCATTTCTATCTGAAGTTTATAGCTCTTCACATGTCAATAACTTTTCATATTCCTGTACTGAAAATAGATATTGCAAGACATAATTACAGGACAGGCAGCCTCGAGGTAGATTTTATAGTAAAGTGTTATTTATGACATTCATCTATTTCTCTATTTAAATTCTTCAGAAGTCAGTTAACATTCTGAATAAGAGATGGGGTTCCTAAATGTTGCAAAATTTATTATTACTTAAAGTGTCAGCATTCTTCAGATACAAATGATATCAATGAGACAGAAAAAGTTGACATAGTATGAAGGCATGCTCATATTTTTCTACAATAAAGTGGTTATAAAATACAACTTATCAATACCAAGCAAACAAAAATAAGACTAGGCACTTCATATTGAGATTTTATAACTGGAATTATTGCCCAAATAACTTTGTTTTCTATTCATACAACCTCTTAAAAGGCTTGAGAAACATGAATTTACCTTTAAAGAATCATGCTTGGAACCGAAGACTCATAAGAACATGCAGCTCAAGAATAACATAACCATACATTTTTTCTTTTTACTTTACAAAAATATATTCTTATTGTCTAAAGGTATAAAAATGTTGAAATAGCTTTATAAAATATTTGGGAAAAGTTGGTAATGCCAGATTGGTACAAGGAGAAGGATAAACCAGTAGAATTTTAGATTTTAGTATAAGGAAGATTTTGAGTTCATGCCAATGGAGAGAAGGGAGTTCTGTCTACTTTAGGAAAGTGAGTTTCAAAAGGAGAGACCATTAAGTTGAAAAGGTTACGTGACAAAGAAGAGGGTTTGGGCTGCAGACTATTATCTTTGTAATCTCAGAAGTTTGGGTTTCTTCCACATGGTCTCATAACTGCATTCCCTCAAATTGGTTAACTCTTGACCATAGAAGCTTTAAATCTGTAGTTTGGTTTTATTTATGGCCTGATAAAAATTTTGTGGAAGAGACAAAAATATCTTCATTTCTTTTAGAGAAAAAGAAAAAAAAAAGTTAAAATGAGGGGTAAAACCAAAAGTTATGGCCTAACAGTGCCCTCTGCATCAAATATTTTTTTCTAACTTAATCTTTAAATATTTATTGAATAAATTAATATTTTAAAGAACACAGATACGGTAGTCATGTCAGTGGTGAGATTAATTTGCATTCACTGATAACTCATGCTTTGCTCTTCCCTCTGCAGTTTCAGAAGGAGCCTGTTCATGCACATGCATGTAGTATGTTTATCATGTAAAGCTTGCTCTAGAAAGAACCACTTTACACTGATAGAGATGAATACGTAATCAACAAAGGAACTGCATGCAGGGTGGTAGGAAAGAGAAATACTGTACCAATTGGCAAGGGGCATCCAGCCCATCCAGGCCAGGCTGGCCTGGCTCCCCTTTTTCCCCCTTAACGCCTCGGAATCCCTGTTTGTGAAGATTAACTCATAATGTTACTAACGCAAGAATTCACTTAAGCACAGATTCTGCTCAAGAAATAACTAGAACAATAAAAGCCTGGGAGAGGAGCAACCTGGAAGGGAAAAGTAACATCCAGGGAAGTTGAACAAAGTAACATGGCACTGGGCATAGTCCCATAACAAGGGCTCGTCTTAAAACAGTGACCTTCTCTCCTGAGGGGTGAGCAATAGCACAGGCTCCTCTTCAGAGCCTATAGTCAGATTCCAGCTGTACAAGAAATACTTGAGATTAAAGAAGCCAGGTAGAGCTTGTGGCCAGAGACAAGATGTGGGAACATACCAAGATGGTCTGAGATGCTTCTTAGCATCTAAAAGTCCATGTTAAATGAGGCTACTGCTCCCTCCAGCTTGCTCTTCTCCCGTGTCATCCCCTCACACAAGCCACCTGGAGACAGTTCATGAGTCAGACATACCAACGGGCAGGGTGCATCTAATCCAGGAGCACCCTGTTCTCCTTTCTCCCCTTTAGGCCCCTTTTTGCCTTTCTTTCCCTTTTCCCCCTGTGGATACAAGGGTTTAAATAAAAGACAGGTTTTATTTGGGAGGGAAATAAAGGTGATTCAAAATATGGCTTAGCCAAGAAAAATCTGGAAGGGCATTTACCACTGTTTTCTGGTTTAGATAAAGCATATTATAATACATAACATACCTGGAGAGCGACAGTGGACTCCGGCAAACAGTCTGAGGGATTTTAAGATAACTCAAAAGATGGCAGGAGACCCCAAAGGCTCACATATCAGCAAGGCAGATCAGTGCCAACTCCCACCACCATGCCACAGTCATTGTGAATTAGGGGTTTGTGCCATGGATCTATGGAGGATGACAGATACCAATTGTATTGAAGCCAGTGGGGTAGGTAGAGTTCGGGGGAATAATGGATACTGCACCCCATTTTCAATACCTGTCAACTTTCTTCCTTTCAAATCCTCTAATAGTTGAAAGCTGCATTGAGCCAGAGGAAAAGGAAAAAAATATCAGCAGCTTCTACCTTGTTGAAATGTATCCAATCTTATTTTCTGAAGCTTTGATCAAAAAATTCAATGTATTAAAAATATACTTTTATTTCTTTTAAGCTTTTTTTTTTTTTTTAAGAAAACCAAAACAAAGACTTTTATTAAGCCAGGTAAACAAATGTTCAAAGTACTAATTCTTTTCATGGATGCCAATTGTAGAAGCAAGTTTCTGTAAACCTAGGGATCTTCTTTAATTTTCACTGATCTCATACTAGATATTCACAATGGTAAATGAGTTTCCAGCTTAATCGCAAGGTAATGAAAGCCCCCCCAAATTCTGTTTGATGGAGGAAAACTAGTTTGAACTTGGTAAAAATGAGGGAGGCAGGATAATTACATAGTGGGAATGTAGCCATGGAAATTAGTATTTAGGAATCAAGGTAAAGGTTGTGGGAAATCTGCATGGATCACAGGAATGGAGGAATTAAGGAAAGGAGGCAAAAGGAGGAGAAGGAAGGAATGCACCTCAGCTGTTTCACATTAACATAAACATCTGTATATTTATGGACAGAATTGGTGCTCAATAGAATACAAAATACAATACGTATTTAAATTAGTACATTCATTCTGCAATCAGGATGGCAGTTGCAATAAAACTGAATAATCTCTGAAGCAAAACAACATGAATATTCAAAGGTGAAGAGACATACACAGAACAGAAACATGAGATATGCATTCAAATTAATACATTCATTCTGACAGACCAAGTGAAAACTCCTCATTCATCTCCTGTGTGCCAAAAAGATTGCATCAGAAGACTCAGAATCAAAAACATTTGGGTTTCTTGAATCTTGGGAAAGAGAGCAAAACTTTGTGTTTGGTTGATCGGGATAAGAGACAAAGTCGTGGAAGGCAGAGTGAGATGGAGCTGGGGTGATAGGAAGTCAGATGGGAGGGGCATTTGGAAGTAAGGTGTTGCTCCTTAGCAAATTACTTGAATGCCACAGCATAAAATTGATTTAAGCTTGTTTGCATGAGCTCTTTCCTCCCAGAAAGCAATGGGCTCCTCTTCAAGTAGGTGTGACTGAGACCAGGTGTGTTGGGTGTTAGTTTAGAACTCAGTTCTATTTGATTGGTAAATTAGCTCAGATTAACCACTCAAAAGAGTTGTCAGTATTGTTGTTGTGGTAGGCTAGGAGGTTCATTTTTTATTAATATTTTAGCAAATATCAAGCTCTATGGAAAAGAGACACTATTATACAAGGAATTATGTACAACAGTGATTTGAATTATGCACCACAAAACCATCTCTCATTGTGGAGATAAGCACATGGTAAGTGCTTGGTAATTTTTTATTCCTCATGTCAAAGTATGATATTCATAAATGTTCACATTTAGAATCTAATTTTCCTAAGTATAAAACTTCTAATCATGGAATCTGTATATAGAAATATGTTTGCATGGGTGATTAATATTCTGTAGCTTTGTGCTTTCATAATCTATCACATAGGTAATTTCTTTCTTTCTTTTGTGGTGTTGGGGATGGACTCCAGAGTCTCAAGCATGCTATTCAAGCTCTCTATCACTGAGCTACACCCCCAGCCCAATACTGAAAATCTCTTACTTATTTAAAAGATCCAAAAATTGAATACTATATGATGACATATTTTGACTGAATAAGATTTGGAGCTCATACAACACATTAGGTAAATATAGAATACATACATAAAATCTTTAAAACACCTCGTGCTGACAGTTTTCATGCACAATTTATCTCAAAACATTATAGTTGGCATTTGTAATGCAGAGTCAAATAACTTTTTTTGGTCTCACTTTCCTTGTCTGTGAAATGGGAAATAATAGCACCATTCTCAGGGTGTTCTGTGAGGACTAAAAGGCTGGTCACATGTAGAGCACCTGAGTGCTCAGTGCATATGACAACGGTGCTCTGGACGCCACTGCATGGCATCTCTTACCAATAGAAGGCTGACCAGTGCTTAAGGACTAAAGCATGCACAGCAGTCTGTGGATCCTTCTTTCTGTGACAAATCTCATTTGGCCTTGCTTTCCAGCAGCTGTGAACTTTACAGTTCAAGAGAATCCACTGGGGTTTGAAAACAATGTGTTAAATAGAATAATAGAATTAATCAGAGTGAATTAATGAGAAGCAGAATTCCTTTAAATTGGGATTGTGAAAGCCTAATTCCAGTTACTTTAATATTATAGATATGCTTTGTCTGATGTCAACCATTCTTAGATCAAATCAGGTCAAAGATTCAAGTCAAGTACAAACAGGGAAAGAATGAAGGAGAGGAAAGAAAAGAGGGTTTTTAGAATCCATAATCCAAACTTTTCTTTCCATCATAAACTGTCCTGCTTGGTAGTGGCCCCTATAAACTTGAGCTGATGGTCCTGAGATAGAGCCTCCATGCTCACCTCATAAAATATACCAATATCCTCATTTTCAAAAGCCACAGCAATCAGCTCTGAATCTGACAATGGCAAGTCCCGGTCTCTGTGTAATGGACTTAACTGTGGTTTATCCATCACACGGCTTGTCCTGTTTTTTGAATAAAAAAATTCAAGATACACAACATGTCTATTTCCTGGGAATGTCATAAAGACAAATGAGATGCTGGCTTTACAGGGTTATATGGGCTCAGCCAAAATACCATTGCAGGTTTGTGCTATGTAATTTTATTTTTATGAAACAGAAAAATTCAAACCCCCCTGGACATTTTTCAAAAAAACTGGTGTCAGGTAGTTGAAAGATTATAGCTTGGCTATCTGGGGATTAGACTTTTTTTCCTTCTATGCTAGACAGTGCCCTCATTTCTGGCTGGGTAGACTTCCTTATTCATCTTTGAAAACCTGATTTCTTAGATCAGGCGTCAGTGTGTTTTTGGAGCACAGGACTGAGTCGGAGGAAGCGGCTGATGGAGTCATACAGGCTGAGCGGCAAAGCAGACAGCAGCAGGAGCAGAATCACACAAGACACGGGTCAGGAGGGACAGGTCACCTTTTCTCCCTTTTCTCCTAGGTCACCCTTCTCGCCTCGTGGACCAGGGAAACCCTGGAGGATATAAAAGCAAAACCAAGAGGTCTATTGGTGTAGCAGTGGTAAAAATCACATTGTGGGAAATAAAAATCTTAGGATTCATTAATCTGAACTAAAAATAGCAAAAAATGACCTAACAATCTAACAACTTAGGTCAAATAACACTTAGATGCTAGAAATCTATTATTTCTATCTGTACACAACAGGTTTCTTGCTTCTTCTCCTAAGAAATGTAGCATAATAATTTCCATTCTGACTGGAGAGAAATGAAATCGCAGTATAGTGTTAATTTGCATTTCTCTAATTGCTAGAGATGCAAAATGATGATGTGGGGAAAAAGGCACATTCATACATTTCTGGTGCGACTACAAATTGGTGAAACCACTCTGGAAAGCAGTATGGAGATTCCTCAGGAACACTTGGAATGGAAACACCATTTGACCCAGTTATCCCACTCTTCAGTTTATACCCAAAGGACTTAAAGTCAGCATATTACAGTGACTCAGCCACATCAATGTTTATAGCAGCTCACTTCACAACAGCTAAGGTATGGAACCTTCAACAGATGAATGGAGAAGGAAATTACAGTATATATTCACAATGGAATAGTACTCAGCTATAAAAAATAATGAAATTATGTCATTTTGCCAGTAAATGGATAGAACTAGAGAATATCATGCTAAGTGAAATAAGTTAATCTCAAAAAACCAAAGGCCAAATGTTTTCTCTGATATGCAGATGCTAACTCACAATAAGTGGTGGGGAAGAACAGAACTACTTTAGATTAGACAAAGGGGAATGAAGGATGGGAGGGGGAATGGGAATAGGAAAGAGAGTAGAATGAATTGGACCTTACTATCATATGTGCATATATGATTACATGACCAATGTAATTCTACATCTTGTACAACCAGAAGAATAAAGTTATACTCCATATATGTATAATATGTCAAAATACATTCTAATGTCATGTATAACTAATAAAAACAAATTTTAAAAGTATTTTAAAAATTTAGCATGGAAAGAATATTGGCATAGTCATTCAGATGCTGGCAAGTTCACTAATTAGTGTAAGTTTGAGCAAATCACATACATCTGCTCTTTATTCCTTTGACTGTAAAAAGGATTAATGACTACCTGTCACATGGCTGTTGTGAATGTTAAATGAGAAGATATATGCAAAGTACAAGAATGATGCCTGCATATATCAGGTGCTCAATAAGCAGTCACAATAACTTTTGCTATTGTGTTTATTCACATAATAAGAATAAGCACTAATCATTTCTAGAAGCACTTATTTTTGACATTTTCTACTTTTATAAAATTATGTTGCCATCTGAGAAAAATAATAAATAGGTACTTAATGCTAAGAGGAAAAAATATTGCATGACAGCTTTGAGAATAAGCATATTATTCCATAAGGGTAGCATGGGAGAGGTATATTGATTTTTATGCATATTTTTTCCATAAATGGGTCATGCTGATGTTGAGTACCCTAAATTGGGAATGTATGGTGAAGTGTCACTATCTACTATCTATTATTCATTTTATACCAGGCAATTGTAATTTGCCTTTGTTTATCTCATGCAAACACTAGTGTATTCTATATTGCTGTCCACATGCACAGCAATATATGCTCTATGCATAGTTACATGCACAGAAAAAAATAACTATTCTTGCTATCCTCGATGATGGAGACCATCAGCATCTATTATCATAGGGAGATAGATGTTTGTTGTCTTTATTACTTACATCAAGACCAGGCTCTCCATCTTTCCCCTGCCAAAGAACCATAGTAGCTACATTAGTGTTCCTAAGTTTCATGAATAGGTTATTGTTTTACTTAAGGCTGCCTGGACATGCAACCATTTGTATTAGAACAATTATATCTGGAATGAGAAAAGGATTCTCTATTGATTAGTAATACAAATTTGTTCAAATCAAGGAAAGTGATTGTTAGTGTTGCAGTTAAGGGCCATGAAAGTCTCTTTCTGATTTTATATTGGGTTAAATAGATTGGCATTTTGCTAAAGTTTAAGGAGTGCTATCAAGTTATCAGTTCAAGAGTGAAGTCAAAAGCAAAAATACTGTTTAGTTGATTTCAAGGCATGCCAGCACTATTAGAGGATGAGAATCAATGCTACTTTAATTTGCTAATTTAGTAGTTAACTCAATGGGTGAAGAATGTGAAAACTTCTTATTGTTAAAATAGTTCTAATCTGGCCAAATGTACATCTTCTATATGAATGTTAACAGTGTAAAAGTCACAACTTAAACTGTTTTTAAGCAAACTTTGCAAATGAATGATTCCCAAGTATAAAAGGAGTCATCAGACTCTTAAATGCAAAGTTGAGAAATTCGCTCTCTTGGTGACAACCCTGGTGTGTCCCTCTGTGGATCCACCCAAAGTTCCCAGAAGCTGGTATGATTCCACTAATCAGATTTTGACATCTATCTCAAAATCAGTATCTGAAATAATCATAGGTTATTATTTCAGTTCACAAAAACTATGTGGAAGGTACACGGAGGTTAAAAACCTTAATACAATATATGCTGCTTCATTGCCCCACCCTACTGAATTAATTCTAATTACTGCAAAAAAGTAAACCCGAGGTCTCAATTTGGATTCTGTGAATTTTCTGGTAATAGCACACTATCAACATTCCATGTTCTGAAGACCATTTGTCCTTAGTAACTTTGATCACAAGTGTTCAGCTCACGGTAAATACCAATTTATTTTCAAGGATCATCTTTACTAGCAAGAGTGCTTTTAATCAATAACCTATAAAAATAAAGTGTGAAGAAGATCATTGTCAATGAAACTTCCACACCTGCTTTCAGAAAGTGACCTTTCAAGGAGGTGGCAGTTAGGAGCATCCAGTCAGGTGGCATAGGGAGGGCGTTATCTGACAGTTGGAATCCTGCTTTCAGGTTAGCAGTATTCATCCTACAGTCTGAGCCCTTCAGTCTTGTGAAATGCATGGTGTGTGTCTGTACAGGATGAGAGGGTGTGAGGCAAATGTAACCTCTCTGTGAAGAACACGGAATTATCTACATTTATGTAATTAGTGGAGTGGTTTTGCCTTTTCAATGTGATTAGTCTGCCCCACAAGGGGAGGGTTAACTGTGTCAGTGACAAGTCAGTCATGCAGAAGGCGGTGGCCGTGCACACTGAACTCACAGGCAGGCCATATGGTCCTCTGGGTCCAGGCTCTCCCATAGCTCCTTTTTCCCCCTAAAACACAAAGCAGAAAGTCCAAATCACACATGCACACCTTCATCCCCACACGGTCTCTTAAGGTCTATGTACCAAGCCTCAACCTAAAGTACGATCCTACCAAAATTTCAAAGATTCAGGTTCCTACAGGATTACTGCCAGTGACAGGGAAAGTAATCCACCATGGCATAGTTTACAAAATGACCTTTGAAAGTAGTACAGAAAGAGACTGCTGCTGCCCAGTTGTGCTAAGGGTTTGCCTAGTGATGATGCTATGCTTGGGTTTCTTCGGCATTATTGTGAAACACTTGTTACTACTTAAATTATAGGCTGAGTATCCATTATTTAAAATTCTTGGGACCAATGGATGGATTGGCTTTCAGATTTGGGGATATTTGCATATACATGATGAGGTAGCTTGAGGTGGGACCAGCCGAAATACAGAATTCATTTCTTTCATATATACCTTATGCACATAGCCCAAAGTAATTTGAGATAGTATTTTTAGTATACCTGTACTTGGACTGTGACTCCTCAGATGAGATCAGGGGTGGGATTTTTTTCACTGTGGCATTGCATCTGTGCTCAAAAAGTTCAGGGTTTTGGAGAAGTCTTAAATTTTCAATTTTTGGATTAGAGATGTTCACTTGTACTACATTTTAAGGAATGTAATAAAACACTTCTCCCCTTATTAAATCTCTCTTGTTCAGAGAAACTTTTGACCATCTCCTTCCCTTACCCAGCTGTGTTTTACTTCATGGCCCTTACTCCCTGGGAGACACTCAAATATTTATTCTCTGCTCCCTTCACTAGAATAAGCTCCTCAGGGTTTCAGGACCTCTCGTCATTCCATTACAGCATCCAGCACATAAGTAATATTTGTTGAATGAATGAACATGAATGAATGAATATAATGGCATACATGTTTTGATTTCTTTAAAAAAGATGTTTAAAATGTTTTATGTTTCTATTAAATACAAGCTCATGTATACATTGTCTTCCTCACTGTCTTTCCTACTTCATAGACTCGCCCTGGCTTAAATGACAACCTTGGATTCTTATAAAGAATAAGTTACTGGGCTGGGGATGTGGCTCAAGTGGTAGCATGCTCTCCTGGCATGCGTGCGGCGCGGGTTCGATCCTCAACACCACATACAAACAAAGATGTTGTGTCCGCCGATAACTAAAAATAAATAAATATTAAAAATTCTCTCTCTCTCTCTCTCCCTCTCTCTCTCTCTCTTTAAAAAAAAATAATAAGTTACTGAAGGTTATTCCATGAATAGAAATAATTGTGATTATAGAGATAGTCCTCATTTCAAATAGTGTTTTTCTCTCCAAATTAAAATGTTTGTCAGTATTCAGCATGAAAAATTCAGGAGTAATAGTGATGTTAACATGAGTAGCCTAACAGAAAATATTACCTTTTATCTCACCTGTGAAGAAGTTTAAAGTTCAGCAAACCATTTTTCATGGGTAAATAAGCCAAGTTCAGCTGGGCACAGTGCCATACTCCTGTAATCCCAGTGGCTCAGGTGGCGGAGGCAGGAGGATCGTGAGTTCAAAGCCAGCCTCAGCAAAAGCAAGGCGCTAAGCAACTCAGTGAGACCCTGGCTCTAAGTAAAGTATAAAATAGGGCTGGGGATGTGGCTCAGTGGTTCTGTGCTCCTGAATTCAATCTCCGGTACAAAAAAAAAAAAAAAATCCAGATTTAGCTGATTTTGCCTGCAAAGGGACATGGCACGCCTGTTTTCTACCCTCCGGATCTATATGCAACTCATTCTTCCTGAATCTAAATTTAAGGGGTTGGTGAAGCTAACAAGCACTGTTATGTAGAGACACATACAGGAAAGGTGAGATTACTGAAGACAATAAAAACTTATTGAACTCATTATTACTTTATTTCTGAAGCAGCAGCAGTTGGGCTCAGTAAAGTAGCCAGGCTTTAAATGACACAGATTTCAATGTGAATTCTACTTCTGGAACTTTGTGTGGCCTCTAGGACTTTCAAAACTTTCTGTGCCATAAAGGAAGAAGAGTAATGCACATTTTGCAAGAACTGTTCTAAAGATTAAAGGTGATAGTAATATTAAAATTATATGGTGGCAAATAGTATATACAAATTATATACTATAAATGGGAACTGTTATTGGTAGTATACAATTAGAGGTGATGTTTTTAATGGATAGGGTTTGACAACCTGAAGAGCATCAATTCAAAATCAGTTTCCTTCATTTTGATTTGACAGTTTTACTCATGATTTTAAAAACAGTGGTATATGTGTGGTGAAAGGTGGGAGTTTTATAAGGGATCTTGGACACTGGAGTAGGTCTAGCTTGAAATAGATGCAGATTATAGATTTTGATATCACCAGGGCCTTCCCCTTCCTCCAACGAGAAACTTGGCTTTGTTTTTGTTTTTTTGAAATGAATATATTATGACTTATTTGAATAAAGCTGTCACTAAAACATCTGCTGGCAGAATTCCTATTCTCAACTAGCCCTCCCTAAATAATGACTTTTAAGCCAACAAGGCAATTTTCTTTCTCTGGCAAGTGACTTCTTTGAAAGTGGACATATGATTTGTTGCTGACCAATGAGGCACTGGGGGCCGTCTGGGGAAGGTGTCTTCTTTGCTAAGGAGACACCAATGCATAATATCTGTTCTCTGCCCATCTCACCTTGGGACGCTTGGGACTGTTGCTCCCAATGTTCTTGCTGGCAGAAGATGAAGCCCTGAGGCACAGCCAGAGTCCTCCTTCAACTCTTTTGCTATAAGAACCAGTATATTTCTTTCTCATTTAAGCCATTTTGAATGTATAAGTTCTGTCCCTTTGAGTCAAAAGCATCATAATGGTCCCGTCTTGAATACTTTTAGGAATGAAACAGTCACCCAGTAATTTGAATGGGTAACTTCTTTTCCTGGATTAGATAATCCCCAAAGAACTGTTGAACTCTCAAACCCAACATCCTATAGAGTTCTGAAGCAGTTTACCGAGGATGAAGAAATCAGCCAATGTCAGGGAGCACCCAGAGTCTACGAAGCTGAATATTAATGCTGTCAGTCATATTGCAGACATTTTGAGTAACCATGCCTGCCAACGGCCTAATTTCTTTTAGGCTGGTCGAATTTCATTTATGCTCTTTACTTTGCATGTCTACACTGAGAAATTGTTCCAGGACGCCTTGCCTTGTTGATTCCTACCTCTTTAAAACTTGGAATTTTTTTCCATGAGAGTCCAGATGGCACCCCAATTAACTTTGAGAATTGCACTCCAGTTTGGCACTTTGGGTGAGGGGCACTTGGAGAGTACTGATACCTGATCCAGTCAGGAAAGTTAACGTGCTGAGTAAATACAAGTGTAACACTTCACACTGCACGCCATCTGACTTAAACTATGCCTTCAAAAATTCTTATCGACTTCATTTGCTCTTCTGGTTAATTCTGCCCCAGCACTGAGACCTGATACTCTTGTGACACTGTGGAGCTATCGGAAGTAGCAGCTGATTGACCAAACGGTAAACCCTCTTGAGCCCCAGGGCACTCTGCCAAAGACTGCTTGAGATTTGCTGCTCCAATTTTAGTACCAGGGCTGGGTTTCTTCATATGATGCTTGAAAGTGAATCTACATCATTATTGTGGAGGCTCTTAGCTTTTGAATATTTTTAATTAAGGAGATCTTCAGAAGTTGTTGGTTTGATCTTGGAAATAAGACAACAGCAGCTTCAGATCATATATTCTTTTAGGACTCATCTCCATCTAGAACCAGTCTTGGATAAAGTCAGCCTTCAACACCACACGTGCATCCTGTACTATTCATTTGGGCCTCTTCCTCTAGTTAGTTCTTGCATACATTTTTTCCACCTCTGCAATTAGATTGCAAACTCTTCTAGCTCAAGGAAAATAGCTGCTACCTCTCCAGCACTAAGTATGTATGTATAAGTTCTAATAAAGACTATGGGATGATGAATCAATTATAATGATATTATTCAATGTACTGGAGCAAATTAGCAAAGTAGTTTTTCTATAAGTAGAAGAGTGTTTCCATTTAACTCTAGAAGTCATACTATGCTTCACACATAGTAACATTTGATAAATATTTATCACATGAATGAATTCCCTTTATAGAAGGCAGAATTGGGGAAATGGAAGGTATGTCAAAGAAATCACTACCTGGCTCTCTTTTTTTATAGTAAATTATTCCAGATTGGTGAAAATGATCAAGTTTTTATAAGAGCACAAAATTGCATAGTGAATCATTCTAACACTTTGAGGCCTTAACTTTTAAGATGCTTTCTTTATATCCTTGCTGGATGGTAGAGAAATTAATGATACGAACCTATTCAGACACACACACACACACACACACACACACACACAGTTTTCCAAGGTGAGGAAATGAAAAAGGGAGAGAAGTTCCAGATAGATGATCAGCTGCTGATGCTTCAGTACATTTTTTTTGTGTCAGATATTTATCTTCCATTCTGAATGTCTTCTCCCCCCCGCCCCCAAGGATATGGAAACATGGCCTAGCAATAGAGAGATTAGTGAAAGGTTTTGTTTTATAATGCACAGAAATTATTTCCTTATGGCTAAAGAAAAACAGGCCATTTTTTAGCTATAAAAAAGGCAGAGGGCACATATAACTGCAGAGAAGAATACTTGGGTTTTGTAATTTCCTTTGGAAAAATGTTATAACATTCCGAATGAATACAGTAGCTTTACATTAAAGATTATCAACCAGAATGCATAGGTACTCCTGGAAATTGTAGGCCCATTGACTTCCACTTTCTGGATGAAGGCCAAATGAAAATATCTTCCTTATGGGTAGATGAAGAATAATTGGAGCTATTTATTTTAGCTATGTAAATGTATGCATTGTTTTTATTAAGACAGCCCTATTCTATTTTTATACTCTGTGGTTTTCTTCTCTCAGTGTTAGGACTCTGGACTGAAAATGCTATCTATTTTAATTTAATACTTGATAGCCCTTTACTTCTTCTGGAAAATAAACAGTCCAAGGTCAACTAATATGGAAAAGTCATGCTCTGTGTTTCCTTCAATACACAGTTCAAGCTTAATAACTTCAGGAACAACTTACTCTTTCTCCTTTGGGGCCTGCAGGGCCATGAGGTCCCATAGGACCATCTGTACCCTAAAAAAAAAGATAAAAATAAAACAATGAGACATACCACAAGTACTGCAAGAAAAGCAGCTTTGATTTATTCTGGACCTTTTCTGGTGAATGATGTCTTAGGATGTCTGTAAGACAACTCATCTCCTTTCAAAGTGCTTTATACAGGATTCTTTCAGACCAGTGGTTTTCAAGAAACTCATACAAAAGGGATGAATTATATCAACTGCATGATTCAATGAAGAGTACATACAAAAAGCCATATATCATGTTTAGTTATATATTTTACTGACTAAATGGAGCCTCTTCACTTTGCCCCCATAATCCTAAGAAAAATGAAACCGTCTTTGCTTCCTGTCACCTCTTCTTCAAGCCCTTTCTCCACATTCATGGCCACCCTTGGCCAAGCACACTAAGAAGCTTTGTTTGCAGCCACATGGAGGCTTCAATGCTGATTCAAGTTAAAAAAACAAAAACAAAAAAACGGCATTTAACTTTTTTTTTTTTTTTTTTGCTACTCTGTAGGGAATAGCAGGGGCTCATCGGGATCCTCTAGGTTCTGCCTCAGTGACTGAAGTCACGAGGCTCTCAAGTCACAAACCAGGCAGCCATGGTGATTAATGGCACCACTGAATTCTGCCTCCCGGTTAGTTCAGGATCTCTGTGATAGGAGATCTATCACTATAGGAACACTGGGGTCCACAGAAAAACAATGACTGCCCAAAGCAGGTTTTTAGAACTGAAAATATTGGAATTTCTTTCAGATTCTTAAAAATGTGGCAAGAATTGGAAGATTCTGCATAGATTTGCAAATAATTTATTATAATATGTGCAAATGTAGAAATATTCCAGCACAATTTTTCTATAGTACTTCCATTTCTCCTCTATTGTCCTGGTTTATTTTGTTAAAGCCTTGTGATATGAGAGAATTCCAAGTTTCAAACTCATTCTAATTTTGATGAATTCTCATCATCTTAAATGATCTTTACTGCCCCAACTCGAAGTTCATCTTTGGAAGATTTCTAAATACTAAGTATCTGCAGCTGAAATTTAAGAGATGGAGCTGTTAAGAACCAAAGAAAAGAGTCAAGATGACAAAAGGCAGATGGATCATTCCACGGACAGACACTTGAAAGTTAGTTCCAAGGAAGAAGTTACATTTCTAAGATGGGCATAATCCTAAAAGCAAAAGCTAGTTAAAATAAATTCATATTACTTTAATCTCTTCAGAGGACCTCTTTCATGGAATTACAGGGAATATTTTATTGGTTATGGAAAAATCCATCTGGGATACTAAGATAATGAAGCCAATTGGATGGGTCATTCTTCCCATATAGTAAGTTATCCAGATTTGAACTTGAGATTTCAAAGATATCCTGGCAGTTGAGATTGGATCTCAAAACACAGCTGCAACCCACTCTCTACCTTTCCTATTTTCCGCCATTTTGTCCACCTTCCCCTTTGACTCCAGCCCCTGAGTACCCCTCCTCATCGCCTGATGAGAGCACATGGAGCAAAGGGGTCTGCCCTGAAGCACGTTTCACAGCCACAAAGCATGCCAGAGCAAGACAGGGACTGACTCACCCGGGCTCCTGGCTTTCCGTCTAAGCCAGATGCTCCCTGTATGATTTGGTTGGTAGCAGGGTTGGTGGGTGTAACACGAATGACAAGAACAGAGATTAGTATGAGGTGCCAATGAACAAATGCAACACTTCAACAACATAATACACAGTCACGGGATTCTGGGATGAATATCACATTGCTACAAATTGTTAGTTAAAAAAAACAACAACAAACCACGTGACAATAAACACCCCACAGATGATGGCATTTTTAATGACATTTCTATTAGGCAAATTCTTTTTACAGAAACCAAGTTAATGAGGTTTACAAAGTGTACTGCAAAGTAGTTACTGGTTCTAGTCAGAGGCTTCTATCTAAATCCCATCTGAAATTCATTTTCTAGAGACTGAATCATTTACAATATATTTCTTTAGGTTCTGAAGGGGAAAAAGTGGCAATCTTGTAAGAAAGGGCTCATTATAATAATCAAGGTACGTGTTTCAGAGGAAAAAAAAATAGAGGCCGAGTTATGCTTGTTAAAATAGTGTTTGTGGACAAACAATGATGGGTTTCAATGTGCCAGGATGAGTCTGGATTTTATGTGAATCATAGTCATTGTATTCCAGGCTGTTCCTACTGTTCATGTTAGTGACCACTAGAGGGACTTCTAAGAACAGGAAAAAAAAAAAAAAAGAAAAGAAAAGAAAAGAAAACAACTCAAGAGCAGGGTGTGGTGGGGGAATCTGTGAGACGGGACAAAAAATAATTCCCAAACTAAATTGTTCCTCAATTCATTTCAAATAATCTTTCATCAAAGCCTGAATGAAAAAAAAATGTCTTAAAGATCTAGATCTGTTCCCAGGCAATGAATGCTATTCTTTACCTTGAACTCTAGGCTACATAAAAACAGTGAAGGATAAAAAAAGTGACATTTCCAATGTTTATTTCAAGAATAAGTACAATTACTTATTTGATGAGGCTTCAAAGCCCAAATATTTATTTATAGTACTTAAAGATCAAGAGTATTTAGGAGGACCATGCTATGTCAAGGTCTCAGAACTACTTCCCAATTTTGTGTTTCAGATAAAAAGAATCTATTCAGCTGAAAATCCCACCAATGAAGCTAAACAACATACTTTTGGGATATTTTTAGAATTTTTAATTCAAGATTCCTTCAGGGTGATTCTATTATGAACCATAGTATAATTAATGATTACAGTAAAAAAAAGTGTATTGCTATTCTTTAATGGTGGCAGACACAGAGATTTTGGCTAGATGTTGCATAAAAATTATCAACAGCTCTAAATTTTGAAATTGGAGAAAACTAAAAAAATCAGGTTAATAGTTTGTTTATATTACCCTTTGATGCTTTATTATAACATTTCAAAATAAATGGCCAAATGATAATTTTTACGTGTGAGATATCTACCTAGAATGCTGAATTAGTGACTTACATATGTTAGAGGTTTTATGCCTGTGGTTCACTGACCTAATTGGTGTAACTTAACCTATTTCTAATATAGGGTTTTATCATTTAATCAATAAGTGAATACATGCACAAATTCTCCTGTGCCTTATCTATAAAACCCTGGCTCTCAAGTGGCATACTTTAGTGCTTAAAGCACAGGGTCCATGGGAAAAATAAGTGGTCATTAATCCCAACCCCAATATCTCAAATACAAGGATAAACTATGATCACTGATTTTTGTCATATCTCACTAATATATTCTACAATGTTCTTTACGGATTTGGCATTGGCAGAATAGACAGCATGCTAAAAGCTTGAAACTAAAGCCTCATATTCAATAATAGATTTTTGAAAATCTGTTGGGGCATAATGCGCATGAAGATAAAAATCCCTTTTTCATTAAAAATAAAAATCTTTAAGCACTTGTAAGCTATTTCTCCCATACTATCCACCATTGCTATAAAGACCCTCATAACGGGGAATTTCCAAAACAAACAACATACAACATGTAGAACACGATGTGATTGATATGCAAGGAGCCATAGCACTGACCTCTAGCCATCAACAATGGCCAATTGCATACCTGCCACCAGGAGGGCTACAGTCTTTTGATACCCAAGGAGAAAAAAAAAGTTGACAGCAAATCTTATATTGCACTCAATTATAAAAGCATTTGGGAGAAATAGTGGAATGATGAGCATAACATTTTTGGAGGAGGAGGATGGGGGAAGAACTGTCAGCCCTGAAAGAGGAAGGTTGGCATGTATGTAATTGAAGAATGACAGAACATCCACAGCATTGTTTGGGGTCTTGCACTAACACAAGAGGAAACACTGGAGAAAACAGAACTTGGCTGAGCTCTGCTCTGACATAATGTTTTCTAATTCCAGAAATCTCAATGGTAAGTAAGCCAGAGTTGTTGTTTAGGGTAGAAAGAAAAATCTGAGATTTGCACTGAAATGGAAAGTTTTCTTTACTTACTGGAAGACCAAGGGGTCCTCTGTCACCCTTTTGACCTGGTTCACCCTTCAATCCTTTAACACCATTTAACCCTGGTTCACCCTAAATGCAAAAGCAAATGCTAATTTCGGTTGCTATTATGGGTGTTTAAAATGTGACAGAAGAGAGCCAGTCTCTGAAATAGCTGCAGATTCCAGTTTTATGTAACAGCAGAGTCAGGCTTGATTTGTCTTGCATCAGTTCAAAGATTAATTTAAAGATAAACTGAAATCAACAAATAATGTTCTAGAAGGCAAAACTCCTGAGAAACTGTGCTTCTTCCTGTCAAAAGCTGTATGACTGAGTCCCTGAATTTTTGAGTTCCATCCCAAGGAAATCAATGTGAACACTACATTGTTCTAATCAAGCAAATCAAAGACAGAGTGAAGGATGCTTAAGCAGACCCAGTAGGAAAAACCCACTCTGCTGGAATGGAAAACTGGAATTTGCGGGACAGTGTTATAGACAGATATTTTAAGCCTTTAAGCATTTTGCCCAGGAGAATGAGCTAAAAATGTAGCAGCTGATGTTTGAAGTAATGCCATTCAGCTAGTTCTCCTTTACTGACATTGCCAAGTCGGTTCCTACACAGATTAATCAATACTCTACAACAAATTGCCAGTCCCAGAGGAGAGTATGAAGATCAAAGAACTTGAATGGAGTTTTACTCACCATCCATCTGCCCAATGTTAGAATCTGCCCAATGATTTTAACTCAGGCTGACATTATAAAAGCCATGCTAAGTGATAAATTCTCCTGACAATTTATTAAAAATCTAGTACACCTATTTTCCATCAATAATCACATGTTAGATGGACAAAGATCTGACTGGAACACTTTTCAACTTTTAAATATAGATATTAAGTTTTCAAGGAAGTCTTGCAAGACTTGCGAAAGGAAGATGATTTCAGGCTGTGGGAGGGGCTATGGTCCCATTAGCAGAAGGGACTTAGGCAGTGTTTACCCAATTTGCCTGACAATGAAAACCAGCGTGGTGGTTGTCAAATATAAAGTGGTCCAGAGCCCCACCCAGGCCACAGGAGCAGAGCATGGGTCTCTCTCATAAGCCTCCCAAGTGAATGTCACACCAGGATGTTCTGTGGAACCATGCTAGCTAGATAGTTGAACTTTTAAAGGGGTCATAGAGTCATGGATGCCTTGGCGTGACATGGTGGATTTTCAGGATTTTGATGACAGGAGTTTGCAGTGCAGCCACTAAAGGAAATTCAAACGTGCTATGTTTGGTAAGGTCTGATCCTGGGAATGCCACAGTCATAGTCAGTATGATACTAAGGCCAAGGCTTGCTAGCCAATTTCAGTCAATTGGTTTAAACTTATGGCTCTGCAGGTACGTGCCCTATTAGCGAGTGGTCTTTAGATGAAGGACAGGCAGGGTAGCCCTAGTATGCTATGGAATTCCTTGGTGGAATATCATGCATTGACAGGAGCAGACAATGATTGAGAAGGTCAGTTTAGAAACGGTCAAATCCAGTTGCAAAGAGACAAAATTTCATGTCTGGACCCAATTCCAGTCTCATATCTGTCATTAACTAGCATGACCTAAACTTTCTGGACCTGTAGTTTATCAGCAATAAAATCAAGGAACTAGTACTGGTCATCTATGAGATCTTTTCAAATTTATAATGATCTGAAATCTGACTTAAGTAACAAATAAAATCATGGGAGGAAAAAACCGATTGGATTTTAGATATTAAAAGGATCTTAGGCATTCAATGGTGCTGGCATATCTGAATCACTCTGGGAACTAGAAACAGTCTTGATGGCTTTACTGTTGGTCATTATCATTAGGCTGATCTTTGGTGGCACCTTCAATTCTAAGTAGAAGCTAAGACTGGGAATCATGGATTTGGTCTAGGATAGAAAAAAGACCCAGAGAAGTTAACTACAAAGATCACAAGCTAGTAGATGGGCTCTCTCCTTCTGACCCTAGAAAAGTACTTTCACCCCAGACTCTACTGCATACATCTGAGGCTCTGACACTGGCCTTAGCAAAAGGCAAGGCATTCTAACAAGAAAGAGGTGTGAACCCCTTCCCTTCTTCAGTGTCACCTGCCTGACCTAAAAAGGAAAATCAAGGAGTCCTAAGTTTGACTAATACCTGCTGGTACTGGATGAGAGGCGCCAGATTACCGAGGAGAGAATGTGCTGTCTCTGGACTTTCTGGTGCCCAGCACCAACATGACATTTATGTATCTCCTCCACCTTTGAAATGCAATGACTCACTATGAGAAAATTTCAGGGGTTATCAACTTTCTCTTCAGCAACCTTGAGGACAAGCTATAGATTTTTTTCTGTTTGGAAGAAAGTACCAAATCACAAGGTAACAATAAGTGCCATATATCAGGTGTTTATCAACAACTGCACCAGATATTTGCTAAGTGTCTTATAATTAGCCTCATTAGAGCATCACAACAACTCTAGGAGATAAGTTATCTGGTTGAATAATTTAAAAATCAGACAGGGTCAGTAATTTACTCAAGGTGACATGGCCTGTCAGTGGCAAAACTGAGATTAGAACAGAAGTTCTCATCACGTATGCTCTCTGGAAGGAGGAGCTTGCCTTTCAGGGCTCATTTTCATCCTCTATGTCTATGTGAAGATAACGTCTTCACAATGGAAGCTGTACTGATTCTGACAAGGACTGATTTGTTTTAACCCAAAGTACACAGAATGCAGGTGAGTGATGAGTGGTATGGTGTGTACCTACTAGCACACCCCCAGCCCATTCTACACCATGGCCTCTGGGAGAGCACAGAACTAAGATGTTGGGTAGTCAAAGCATGAAGATGCAGTCCTGTGGTGATGGCAAGCAAGACATTTCAATTAATAGGAACCAAACCTACAGCTAGAGACACCAGGAAGGGGGTGAAAAAAGCACCTGGACCAGTCTAAGAATCTCATTGGATGTCTGCTAAGGGGTTGATTCGAATATATAACAATTAGTAATTTAGGAAACTTTTACTTAGCAACAAGGAAAAAAGAAAACGAGGAATAATTTAACTCTAGGTGATATCACTTAAATTTGTTGTAAGTCATTTTGTATTAATATCCGAATGCTTAAAGGCTTAAGGATTATCAAAATTACTTGACAAATAAATAAGACAGGACAGACATGCTTCGATCATGCTTCCCCCATGATAATAAAGAGAACAGAAATCAAGTAAGGAATGTGTTGGATTACCTTTGGTCCAGGAAGTCCATGGGGTCCCTGTAAATGGAAAACACGGCTTTTAATGAAGAATTGATTCACTGTTTCCCAACAGAAGTGAATATTTTCTCAAGAAGCAAGAATTATAAAACCAGAATTTTCTTGTTTGAGCTATTGTGAGAGGTGGGTCTGTGGTTGTTATTTGTTACCTACCAAAAGGTCCTTCCAGTTCTTGTTTTGCTCTGCAATAGGAAATGCATTAATAGCAATCCTATCTGCTAAATGTCTATGAGAGGGAGGGAGAAATGTGCTGGAGTTACATGGAAGAAAAAAAATTAGAGAAAAATAAACTATTTTAAACTCACATTATTTCTCTTTCTCAAATTTCCATTTTTTAGTCAGGTAGAATATTTGAGATACTTCATAAGTCTATAGAGAATAGAGGTAGGACTTAAAGTGTGGGACTCTCTTTATCAAAGATCTACTTTTAAGTACCAGTGCTCATTAACTCCTACAGACTCGAGGTGTTAAAGAGTCTAAAGGAGAGAGGAAGTGAGGTGAAGCTAGCTGGGTATGAGGCCCTGTAGCAGCAACAATTTAAAAATCAGGAGGGCTGAGCATTTGTATTTATATTGTATTTATTTTTACAAGGAGGAATTCTTCAAAGCCCTAACAATTCTTTACTAATGGAAGGAAGTCATAATGCATGCATAGATTGTCCACAAAATACATGCTTTTTCTAAAATGGCAATCTAAATATAAAGGCTAATTATCAAATTAATGGAAGCTTACTGTGGGATTGCTTTAAGCTTTTCAAGTGACTTAAATAAACTATTGTGGAAAGGAACATTTAAAAATACAGTGAAATCATACAACACCAGAAAACATTTTTGATCAAGCAATGCCTAGATATTTGTTACACATGTCTCCATTAGAATAATATTTTTCCTTTAGTTAAGTTTTGGGTAAACATTTTCAGGAAATGACTGTCACTTTATCAGGTATTCTTATCTCATTTTAATAATGGGTTAAAATTCCTTTAAGCCAATTAATTTTATCATATGAATAGGAAGCAGCATATTCTAATTTAACCTTCTAGCTTAAAACTTGAGGGAGAGTAAAAAAGCCAAAAATCATGCTATTTGCTCAATTCTTAATAAATTCATTTTAAGAAAACAAGGTCAATTGTAGCTTTCTGTTACAAAATAGAAATTAATAAGAAATGGATGACTGAGCTACCTTCCAGGTCTTGGATCATTCCAAAGATGTTCTCTTAGAGAGCAATATAAGAAGAATGGCCACAAATTAATCTATATTGTTGAAGTTTTCTGGTTTACTGACACACTTTAGAGATGAGCGTACCTCATCCTGCCCCTGTCAAAAGCATTTGAAACACTCTGCTTTCCACACTGTAGCCTTAACGCAACTATCATTAGTCTGGCACTTAGAGAATCACACTTGTTTAATGGCTGCCTTCTTTAGTTCTATGAGGTCAGGACCACTGCGTCTGTTGGTCACTGAAGGACACCACCATAGACACTGGGCCTATGGATCATCACAAGCACCATGAACAAGAAAGGGGAAAAAAATCCAACAGTCTCTGTCATCTCCGGATTATTATTCATGATTGTACTTCCATTATTATTGTACTATTTTATACATATTCTTATTGAACATTTCCGCAAAGGGTGTCAAGGCTCAATTTTGGTTAGAAACATTCTTCAGCAGCTCCAGTTATTATGTTGCTACAAACAGATGAAAACAGTAGCAAAAAATGATATTATGCACATTGTATAAAAAAAAGTAAATGTATCTCCTTGTATGTCTATGCCATAAGGCTGGAGCAATGCTTGCCAGGTTGGTCTGTCTGTCTTCAACTTTCCTATCATAAAGCTACTTTCTTCCTAACACATGTGCTTGGGGGAGTTAAAGACAACACAGTAAAGTCACCATATCTTAAAGCACCTGGTATTTTCTGTCCGTTCCACAGAGAGTCATACAAAATACAGGCTGACTGTTCAGAGAGATGTGCTCATGTTTTCTCTAGTAGCATGCTCATAAATAAACCATTACATTTTGGAGAGAAGGGAAACTTACCATGGGGCCAGGTGGGCCATGAGGACCTGGAGGGCCTGGTGGGCCTATGATCTGTGTGTCCAAAAAATAAACATGGATTTAGTTACTTCATTTAGATAAGGCAGTTTAGTTCAAATCTCATGCTGGGGCTCTGCTAAGGCCATTAATATTGGCAGAGGAAGAAGGATATTCCAAGAAGCAATGAGTTTGATTCTCTAGGTTTAGAAATTCCTTTGTGAGAATAAAATAACTTCAAAAAATAGTGTTGTTCTACAAAAGCCAGAATAAATCAAAAGTACAAGAAAGGGAACAACTGATTACAAAATATCACACAAGCAAGAAGAACAACAGAAATTCATAATGTCATAATCATCATTAAGCTCTCAAATGTTTCACTAAGCACTAATAGGGTTCTGGAGAAGAGAAGAAGAATGTTAAGCTCTATTTTCACAAAGTTCTACCCACACATACTGTGGGGAAGTCATTGATTTTTCTCCACAGAATAGGACAGTCCTCTGAAAAAACTGCTTCTAACTTAGACTTCTGAGACACATGGTCTCTCATGGTACAAGGTTGACAGGCATTTCTTTTACAGTTTGACAAAGTGGTTCGCAGTCTTTCTACTATTGATAAGCCATCTGGCACATGTTGAACTAGGTAAATAATCATCTTGTGTCTGTTTTTCAGGAACAGTGGAAGTTCAAGGTCCATGAACTTACAGAAGGACCCTGGGGACCTGGCAATCCGGAGTCTCCCTTTTCTCCCTTCACTCCATTGGCACCCTGCAAATAACCAACAAGCAGAGTTAAGCAGGTGAAGTTATTTCCAAAGTGTGAGAGAAAACTGAATTTTTCTCCCCAAATCCATTTTTCTCTTGAAATTTTATGATATTATGCACATTGTATAAAAAAAGTAAATTCATCTCCTTGTAGTTTAGCTTAAAACAGCAAGCTTACTATAAGATTCCTAGGTCTGTGGGTGGTATGTAAGATGTAATATAAATGAATTAAAAAACTAGACTGGCCTTGATTAGTGAAACTTACACAGTAAGTTTACAACTGTTGGGTTATAAATGCATCTTTTATGATGGTGCTCATTTTAAATTGCAAAGAGCCTTTAACTTAGTTTTCATGGACATTTGTATACTTCCTTACCTAAAAAAACACATAGGGCAGTGAAGTTTATTACATTTTTTTCTTGTGGACCGGGAATGTAGCTCAGTGACATGACACTTGCCTAGCATGGAACAAACACTGGGTTCAATCCCCAGTAATGCAAAAACAAATAACCCCCCCAAAACCAAACATACATTTTTTATTATAATTTCTATATTCCCCACCCCTCCAAATTCTCAGTAAAAATTATGAGGGAAACTATAAATGCACCCATTACAAAATATCAAACAAGAAGAACAATTTACCAAGCAATTTTTTTTAATTGTTCCATATTTTTTGGCTTGTTTATCATTATCTGTTTTATAATCGGTTACTATCATCTTATGCATACTAAAGTGACCAATTACATTTATTTTACTATCTTCTAGTGAATATAATTTAGGAAGAACTTGAAGGTAAAATTTACTTCATAATTCATCTGGCTACATGCTTTAAAAATTTTAGTTTCCCAGTTGGAGTATTAATAATATAATTCTTTTTTGATTGCTTAACTTATCTTAATAAGAACATTTCATAAGAAAAAGTAAAAACATACCGGTAATCCAGGAAGTCCAATTCCTCCTTTTTCACCTGGCATACCTGGGTCCCCCATGTCTCCCTTTGAGCCTTTGAGTCCCTAAAAATGAGAGGATTTGCATGTGAGGAGCCTTCTGACCCCTGATAGTTACATTCTAGGGAAAACAGAAATCTGATCAATTTTGTCACTAGGTAGGTCCTATGCTGGGATGATTCTGATTTTCATTCTTAGGCAGGGCTATTTCTTACAGCAACTGTCTACACTGAATCAATACTATCTACCCACTAATGGAAGGGATTGAGTTCTACTAGCCAATTAAATATGAAAAGCATGAACTTAGGTTTTGACACCATTTCTCCTGATTTCATGTATTTAATTGGCAGCAAGTCTACCTGAGCAGGCTTGAAAACAACTTAATGACTTTAATTCTCACAGAATTGAGATCTAATATTATTACAAGGCCCAAAGATACTTCTCCCACCTCTACCTTCGATGCTCCCCTCCCCCTTAACTGTTCTAGTCATCCTGAGTTTTCAAATGGTCCAGCCTACAGACAGGTTAATCATTTACTGTACACTAGTGTTCAATCAATCAATGCTTAAAAATACGTCAACTGTTTTAGTGTTCTAATTTTATCCTCATGGCATTTCTATATGGTGAGCCAGGATATTATTTTTATTTTCCTTTTACAGTGAGGAAATATATAAATGTGTATTTTGAATGTTAGCAAATCTGATTTGTGTAACACTAATGCTGAAACTAATTTCTATTGTTGATCATTTTCATCCTGAACATAACCAGATAGCCCATTCTTCAGTGAAGATCACAATAATTATGGTAAGGGACCCCTGAGTTACATAAACCTGTTTGTCTTCCTAGGGACTGAAACATATATTTCCTTGCTAGCTGCCTATTTTGTACTCCCTAGTTCAAAGTCTCAGACTGGGTGAGTGAGTGGGTGGAGATCTGAATGGATTTGGATCTTATTGGTTAGTCAGACTTTGATTTTAGGAATCTAGTGACAGAGAAGAGCAACAGGCCAATCCCACCAGACTTGATGGCAGAAGACAACTTGATTTTTGGCTTCAAATCTTATAACAAAAGTACTGATCAATAATGATGCTTTTAGCAATGGTATATATCTTTGAAAATTACCTGCTCTCCATCAGCTCCTGGGATTCCTGGAGATCCTTGTTCTCCCTGTTAAGATAAAAAGTAATAGCTTGCCTCCATTATCACTGGCAATATACTACACTAAATAAAAAAAATGATGTTAGTTGAAAAGAACAATTTGACTTTTACCAAATTCATCATAACCCAAGAATACTCTGTTATATATTTCAGTTAAGTGAACTAATGATCTTCCTTCAAAATGTTGTATATGTAGCTAAGAGCCAGGGTTTTTCTGCCATGTAAGATGCCAGTTTGAAAAAAACATGATAAAAGATGACTGATAATTTGATGGCTGAGCATATCCTATAGCAACACCTATGTGCCTCAGTTAATTTTTTTCCATAAAAAAATCTAGTTGGCTTATCTTTTTTTTCCAGTTTCATAAAAACTAAAACATAACAGTTAAACTAAAATTAGAGTGACAAGCCTCATGAATTTATAGCAACATTTTAACTGGAACAGTTTGAATAAATTCATAAAGTCTGTGAGAGTGCTGTGTCCAGAAAAGCCACAATGAAGGATGACATAATAAATCAGATAATATCTTAATCCACATAAAATTGCTTTTGATCATTTCAATTTCCTATACTATGCTAGGAATGAAGTAAAATTTACTGTTCATATGATTTATTGGAACTTTTGACAAACTCAAAACAAAACAGATTTTTATGTGTTATTTTCAAAATGAAGATGTTCCATTAAAAAAAATTAAACAATATGCTAGAGATGATTCAAATAACAGGTTTATTCACCTTTCACTTTTGGAAGGTACAGATAAAACAATTCCTTGAAAGGTAGGATATTATTTTGTATCAAATTTCCTGATGCCTACTCCATGGAAATTCTAAAAACAGCTCTTCCTAGAGTGAGTGGCCTGCCTCAGACAGATTTCCAAGGGAGCTGCCTGTAGGCTGTGTTTTCTAAAAAGGCTTGTGTGGTGATGTTATAAATGACAAAATGGACATGGCTGGGGCTCCCTTCCCTGGTAAAAACTTTAAGAGCCATGGGTCACAGCATGAAATTTGAGCTTTCCAATGTTTAAAGAAGGTATGATTCTTACAGTTCTAAACAAATGAAATAAAAAAGCAGAAAAAAAAAGGCCCTTTCCTCATTTCAGATTTCCTGCTCTTTGTGGTAGCAGCAAAGTTTATTTTGCTACAAACAAGTCTGCTGAGGTTGGATGCACCTGGCTAAGCCCTAGTTTCATTCAGAGTCTGAATACTTGTCAGCACTCAGGGTCCCATCATGATTGCTTTGTTAAGCTTTTACCTTTAAAATATGATACACAGAGGCTTAAAAGAAGAGCATAATTCATGCACTACTCATTTATCCTTCACTGTCAATTACGGTTTGTGAGAGCTATCTGATGTGCAAGAAATCAAATCATTCTTGTTTGGTAAAGGAAGGAGAAATGCGAATTCAGAAATGCTGAATCCGCATTTCTCAGTCTGAGACTGAGTCTAGAGAGAGAAAACGTTTCTGTGCTTGATTCAGGCTACATTTTGCTGTCTTATGCTTGGAGACACATCCTGCCTCAATTACTCCAGGTGAGATCATGGACAGCATTAAGAACTACATCAGTTAACACTAGATCTCAATTACAAGACTACTGTGGGGTGGGTGGGGTGAGGATAATAGGATGGTGGAAATGATGGCGGGGGTAGACGGTAAGGGGGAGAGACCAGATTTCCTTCTAAGGTATCCAGATACTTAAGGAGTAGGGGTCCAGACAGACTTGATCACCAGGGATATAGACGGTTTGCCTTTAGCAAACAATTGTGTTATATCTTGTAGGGACTAGAATATGGTGGAGAAATGGAAAATGTAAAAATCCCATACTTTTTTTATTAATGTTATATATGAAATGCATGAATGTTACACATGAAATCTGTTTCATTCTAGGATTTATGTTCTCAATACGCTTCACATAGGCAAGGGCCTCAGCCATATTTTACTTTATATTCATTTGTTTAATAGAGAAATTTTCTATGTACTAGATTTCTATTTTTAAGTATCTAGAAAAAGGTACAAAAACTGATGCATGTGTGCGTGTGTATGACAGACTTAGCCAGTAAACTGACTTGAGAAGTATAAACAGAAGATGAATTTTGAAACCACTTGAATCTCCTACAAGAATCCAATGACGAAAGTCATATTTCAGCACATGTAGTTCAGTTCTGAAAAGCCAGAATCCCTGGCCATGTGTTAATTGATCAAACATGGTCAAATGACTAAGCTTTAGTTTGGAGGGATAGAGCTAACATAATTGACAAAGTGTAGGAATAGGCAAATCATTCCACATTTCTACTGTTTGTGATTGGTATGTTTCATTAGGAAAGAATTAAATGGCAGAATCCCCCCAAACTGAAGGCTGAATGTTCTCTCTGATACGTGGATGCTAACCCACAACAAGAGCAGGGAAGAGTAAAAGTTCATTGGTCTAGACAAAGGGGAATGAAGGGAATGGAGCAGGGATGGGGATAGGAACGGCAGTAGAATGAATTGGACGTGACCTTCCTATGTTCTTTAATGAATACATGACCAGCGTAGCTCCACATCATGTACAACTGCAAAAATGGGAAGTTAGACTCCACGTATGTATATCAAAATCATTTGACTGTCATGTATAACTAAGAACAAATAAATTAGGTAGATAAATTTTGCATTTCTCCTTCTTTTACCAAACAAGAGTTATTTGATTTCTTGAACATCAAATAAAAAGAACAAATAAATTAAAAAATTAAATGGCAGAATGTCTGAACGTATATAATAAAGGGATGTGCTAGAAAACGTGACTTCAAAATGATTCCTTTGTTGTTTATGAATGCATCATGAAAAAGCTTCCCTGGTTCTTTTTATTACAAAAGAACTGGAAGGAAGGATCTTTGGAAGTGTCGGAGTAGATCTCCTTCAATTCTCTTCTATTTAAATATTTTTTAAACACCACATTTAGTATTTCTTTGTAATTTCTGTGGAACATATTTTTCCCTTGGTTGATATTTTCTATTTTTCTTAATTGGGAATGACATTAAATTTAGGGAAGAACATTATCTTCCTTCTTTCCTTATTTTACCTCTTCTTCTAGTTCAGATCTTAATTTTTTTCCTTGAAACAATATTGATGACTTGCTTCTCCAGCATTTTCTAAGACCAATTTTCAAAATGCATATATTTAAATGGGTTTCTTCCATGTGTATATATTTTAAAATATATTCTACTTTCATGTATAACTAAAAAGAACAAATAAAAATTTTAAAAAATGTCTCTGCATTATATGTGATTAAAATGTAACAAACAATTAAAGAATAACCTTTGGCCCTTGTAGTCCTTGAGGTCCAGGAGGTCCAGGGGGACCCTAAATCAAAAAAAGTCAGAGTTTTAAAAAGTAGCAAGTATGTATATATGTATTAAAATTCATGCTTTAAATAATAGGCACTCAACACACCTCCATTATTTCTATCATAATTAGTTTCCTCCCAATATTTATGTGAAGTGGGAAAACATCTCACTTGTTACATAATTATTACAACTATACTTATATGCTAAAATATTAACATGCTTTAGGTCAAAATAATACTCAAGATGCTTTTGGTTTTGTAAGACAGTTTTAAAATTGCTTCCATGTCCCACATTCATCTTGGTGGGATGAATTCGTCTCCTCATATTACCTGTGTCTTTAGATATACTCCTTTCCCTCCACCCCAAAGAACAAAGATTTGAGAAGGTCAAAGACTTAAGAAAATGAATAATTTTTCTCATAATTTTTCATGAAACAAGGTGATTCAACTAGAGCAAATGTTGTAAAGGTTATTAATATAAAGAAAAATGAGATTAAGTATTGATAAGACAGTTGCTCCCTGAGTACCATTTTGCCCTGCATGCATCAACACTAAAGACACAGACCACAGAAATCATGCGATAGGAGTTACCGTGACAGTTAAGGTGGTAATCCTCTGTTGGGAAAATGTATTGATAAATAGTTATCTATTTTGTATGTCAAAGTACAATAATACATTTCTGAAAAAAAATCAACTTTGAACGTTTTGACAGATCTAATGTCTTATAATGAACTGACAAGATTCTTAGAACACATCCTATTTTCAATAGAGTATAATTGTTAAGATCTTTAAAAAATATTTTTATAATTTTATTTTTAAAAAATCCATGGGTAACTGGATGTGGTGGCACATGCCTGTAATCCCAGCTAATGGGGAGGATGAAGCAGGAGAATTGCAAGTTTGATGCCAACCTGGGCAAATTAGCAAGACCCTGTCTCTAAAAAACCTGCCAGGGATATAGCTCAGTGGTAGAGAGCTTGCCTGGAATGTGCATGGCCCTGCCTGGGTTTCAGCTCTAGACCTGAAAAAAGAGTCAAAATTCTATTTATCTGATTAAAATAATGTGTAGTAAAGTAATATACACTACAGGCCCGTCAGCATAGTTGTGAACTTAGAAATTTGCTATTGATCAAAGTGCTTTCTCTAAGAGGGAAAACTGAAATATCCAATTGCATTTCTTTTGTCCTGTAGTCTATAGCTCATTTGCTGAGCTAGAATTAACTTTTTTTTGTTATATGTGCCATAACTAAAGAAATTAATAGTGAGTTAATCTAATTTCTTAATGTGCTAGAGCACCTTAACAAAAAACATGATTCCTAATCTTTGAATCATGTTCTTGTATAACTATTTTCTAATTTACATCTTGTACTAAAAGTTCAGCAGGGTCTATTAGCCACTTTAATGAAACCAGAGAGGGGAGAACATTTTCCATTAAGGGCGTTGGTCATAGAGAAACTATCGGATTACATGTAAACTTGTGGATATCAGATTAACACTATTTCTTTTTTTCCATTACTCTGTTCCAATCTCTGACTCAAGCTGTTGTTGTTTTTATTGTTGTAAAAAAAAAAGTAAAAAGTAACATCTCACTTTAATCACTTGAGTCTTTCATGACATGGTATCATCATTCCTTAGAAAACAATGTTTATACATGTGTACACATGGTTAAAATTTTTATTCCAGGATAAAATTAATCATGGTCATTATAACTTCAGAGAAATCAGTAGGAACAAAAATTAAGTGATTCTAAGACAAAAGCAAAATGGACACAAACTGATTTAAAAAAAAAATTAAAGATTTTGGAGGAGAGGGAGCAAGGTGAAGCCATTCAATAGCTTCTGAAGACTGTCATATTACAGTCTTCTGTAGGGTATATATATCCTTATAAACAAGGGTCCAGAATTTAATAACAGCATACCTGTGTAATGTAAGGTAACACATACTTTCTTTCCTTTTTTCTTTTCCTTTGGTACTGGGGATTAAAACCACAGGCGCTTTATCACCACTGAGCTCATCACTAGCCCCTTTAATTTTTTGAGACAGCATCTCACTACATTGCTTAGGGTCTCACTAAGTTGTTGAGGATGACCTAGAACTTGTGATCCTCCTGCCTCAGTCTTCTGAAGTTTCTGGGATTACAGGCATGTGCCACGGCACCCAGCCAACATACTTTGTACTTAAGGGATTTACCTGAACAAGAATTGGATTTATATTTATAAGAAAGCTTCTTCACTTATATAGTAAAAAAAATGAGTCATTTAAACAAGGCTATTAGAAAATTACAGAACAGAAACTATTTATTTATCATTGCTTCCAGTATTTTTAACTAGAAAGCAGAGTTCCAAAAACTTACAAAGGGAAGCACATTTACAATGTGAACTCAGATTTTCCAACATGAGGCCATGTAAGAATTCACTTTTCCATCTAAATAAACACAAGGCTAATATGTCCATTTTAAAAAAACTTAAGGATAACAACATGTTTTATGATGAGCCACATAACAAAGGACATTATTAATGGTAACTGAACTAACAGATGGGATTTAAATGATTTCCTTAACTGTAAGACCTAAAAACTGCCCAAGGTTCCATCCAGCTTTAGAAGAACACATCACAGCAAACTCAGCTAACTTCACAAGCACCTTACATTGATCACCTTCTGGAAGTATCAGCATGTACACCCACAGAAAAGTCATAAAGATGCTTGCTTGCTTTGGATGTCTTCTATCTGAATCCTCTAAGTTAAAGCTACATAAACCCAGCAGGGTTCTCTCTCAAACTCCAGTAATAATGTAAAAAAACAAACAAACAAACAAACAAAAAACCTAGAATTTATGGCAGTGGTGGAGAAAGACATAACTTTTTCCAGAGACACATGAGGAACAAGGGAGGCAAGGCTTAGAGCAACTGCAGATGGGGGAAGACTAGCAGGCTGTATTGTGGCTTATTTCCTGAAACGCTTCTATGAACTCCCTATTTTCTTTCATTTCTCATAATGATAATGATGCCAACTTAAAACCTCTAATGATTTACACTAAAGAACAGGGTTATTTTAGAAGGTGATGAGAATTTGTTAAAACCTGAATTAGGAAACAGGTTTTATTGCAAATGGTGAAAATTCAACTACCTTAAATAAAAATAAAGAACTTAGATCAATGTTTATATAAATAACATTTTTCTTTTCATAGACCAATGCAATTTAATAGTCTTCCTAACAGGGTACAAGAGAGTAATGCACAAAATAATAACAGTACTGAACAGGTTCAGTACTAGGAAGAGGGACAGAATAAAATACCCTAAAAAGAAATTTGGAGTAGTCCTGGGCAGAGAAGGGGAAAATAAAATAGAAATAGGCTCTTTTTGATTTTGCCTTGTGTCAAAAGAAAAAATAATAAAATCTCTCAGGTTTTTATTTCACTCCACAATTTCAGTTCCAGTTAAAATTATACAGAAGTACTTTGTTATATGGGTTGAAAGCTTTTCATTTGACTATAAATGAGAATTATAAACATGAGAATTATAAACATCAAATCCAGAACACCAAATATCTCAGGCATACTGTATGTATAGGGTTTCAACTATATTGGGTAATATTGTCTCTCTTAAATTGGGTTCTGGACCCACAGAAGTTTATACTATTTTTTGATAATTTTTCATAATCTGATATTTTATAGAATACTTTTCAATAGAAGCAATGTAAAATTTTATATTTCTCACATGATATTATAACTGTAATATAGTCCTCTTTATCTAATTATCCTAGAGATTTTTTGGCAAATTTTTTGTAGAAGCCAATAATTATATCTATAAAACTATAAACATCCATTACTAGTAAAAAGCAGAAGAGTAAATGTCTACCAACTCTTCTCAATCCAATAGCTGTCTAGCTGAATTGATTTTATTAGGGACTCTTAATCCACCAGAGTACTATGTTTGGAAAACCAATAAATAGTTTTGAAGTGAAAAAACAACTATATGCTATTTACAAGCATAACATATGGTTGCCCTAACAACCTCATAAGGATAATAAATCTTAAGGTTTGAACTTCGGCATGATAATATTGAATGCATATGCTTATAGTCACACTGAACTTGAAGTAAGAAAAAGAAACAGAACACATATCCTTGTATATCAAAAAGCAGGTGTCTGTGCCTACTAGAAGAGAAAGTAGGCCCCAAACTCCATCAGTCAGCATAGGAACCAATTCCTCAACAAGACTTCTAAACTGCAAGAAGTAAAATCAAGAATCAATAAATGGGATAGAATCAAACTAAAAATCTTCTCCACAGCAAAGAAAACAATCAAGAACAAGAAGAGAGAGCCTGTAGAATCAGAGAAAATCTTTGCCACATGCCTCAGATAGAGCATTAATCTCCAGGATATATAAAGAACTCAAAAAACTTAACAACAAAAACCCTACAAATAACCCAATCAATAAATGGGCAAAGGCACTGCATAGGCACTTCACAGAAGAAGAAATACTATTGGTCAACAAATATATGGAAAAATGTTCAACACCTCTAGCAGTTAGAGAAATGCAAATTAAAACTACACTGAGAGTTCATCTCACTCCAGTCAGAATGGCAGTTATCAAGAATACATGTAACCATAAATGTTGGTGAGGATATGGGTAAAAAAGGCACACTCACACATTGCTGGTGAGACTGCAAATTGGTGCAACCACTCTGAAAAGAAGTGTGAAGATTCCTCAGAAAACTTGGAATGAAATCACTATTTGACCCAGTTATCCCACTCCTTGGTTTATACCCAAAGGACTTAAAATCAGCATACTAAAGTGATAACAGCCACATCAATGTTTATAGCAGCTCAATTCACAATAGCTAAGCTATGGAACCAACCTAGGTGCCCTTCAACAGATGAATGGATAAAGAAAATGTAATATATACACACAATGAAAAAGTACTTAGCCATAAAGAAGAATGAAATCATGGCATTTGCAGTTAAATGAATGGAACTGGAGACCCTCATGCTAAGTGAAATAAGTCAATCCCCCAAAAGCAAAGGCTGATTGTTCTCTCTGGTATAAGGATGCTAATTCATGATAGGAGCAGGGGAGGGAAGAATGGAAGCTCACTGGATTAGACAAAGCAGAATGAAGGGAAGGGGGGGAATTGGGAATAGGAAAGACAGTAGAATGAATCTAACATAACTTTCCTATGTTCATATATGAATACACGACTAGTGTAATTCCATATCATGTACAACCACAAGAATGGGAAGTTATACACCATGCTTGTATAGTACATCAAAATACATTCTACTGTCATGTATAACTAAAAAGACCAAAAAATTAAAAAAAAAGAATCTGAAGTTTATATTCATATCCATGACAAAGGGAAACAGAAGATACTGTCCAGTTTTCAGCCTGCATTTCTTTGGAGTACACTGTTTTTGAAAATTTTAAAAAAATGAGCATAAAAAAGAATAAAGAGCAGGTATATCAGATTTTTAAAAAAGGACAGTGCTTTGAGGTACATCAATAAAGTGTTCAGGAGCTTCTAAAAACAACCTGAGATAATATTATATTTCATGGACTCCTAGCAAAGTATCTATTCCAATGATATCCTCATTTTTCAGATAAGATCAATGAAGTACAGATACAATGATTTCCCCCAAATGACCCTGCTCATTAGTAGTAGAGGGAAGACTAAAACAAATATTTCCACTTTAGGCTAAGAGTAGTTAAAAGCCAGACCCTGTTCTTGCAAAGAATGCTTTAAAATTTTTTCCACAATTTTGTGGAAAATGACCAATTACATTTTATTGGAAAATAAGAACAGATACCTTTTGGTTTGGCGGGTACTGGGAATTGAACTCAGGGGCACTCAACCACTGAGCCACATCCCAGCCCTATTTTGTATTTTATTTAGAGACAGGGTCTCACTGAGTTGCTTAGCACTTCACTTTTGCTGAGGTTGGCTTTGAAATCACAATCCTTCTGCCTCAGCCTCCCGAGCCACTGGGATTACAGGAGTGCACCACCACACCCAATGAGGGCAGATACTTCTTATAGGTGAAGGTAGGAATTATGTTGTCCTTGGAATTAGTTTAAGAGAAATGTACAGCATTGCTGATAAATTAAGTTTTAAAAGTGTCCCTGTATTTTAATGTATAAGTTAATATTTTGAAAACATAGTAGGTACACTAGAATTTTGTATATTCTCTTTCTCTCCATAAGCAGTTATTGGCTTAAGAGGAAAAGGGAACAGTTTAATAAACTGGTTCTAGAACTTAACCATAACACTGAGGCCACTGCTTATGTGTAAGCCACTTATATTGGAGAAAACCAGTCACATTGTGGCCTGAATACACTGTCTGAGCAAGGTTTCTCCAGCCAAGAAACATGCTTCTCTTTGCATTTAGGAGGAGGAGGAGGAGGAGGAGGAGGAGGAGGAGGAGGAGGAGGAGGAGGAGGAGGAGGAGAGAGAGAGAGAGAGAGAGAGAGAGAGAGAGAGAGAGAGAGAGAGAGAGAAAATAAGGGAGGGGAGGAGGTAACCAGGAAAAAAAATGGCTGAGCTGAAGACAGATTTTGTACACATTAATAATAAATACTTTACTGGTTAAAAATAGTGGTAGTAAAAAAGGACACATAGAAGTGTAAATCTACCAAAGTTAGATCACATTAGTGAGGCTGAAAAAATGATTTAAAGAGGTATAAAATGGAAAAATATTTAAAATTAGTCTGTCTTTCAAACTAAAAAAGGAACTTGTACATAAAAAGTACACATACTCATTTAACCACTAAACCTCAATAGAAAGCATGACCAACAGATTAGTCCACTTGGAAGACAGGACCTCAGACAATGAAGACAAAATATATAATCTCAAAAAGAATGTAGATCACACAGTGAAGATGGTAAGAAACCATGAGCAGAACATTCAAGAAATATGGGATAACATAAAAAGACCAAATTTAAGAGTTATTGGGATAAAGGCATAGAGTTCCAAACCAAAGGGATGAACAATCTATTCAATGAAATAATAGCAGAAAATTTTCCAAACACGAAGAATGAATTGGAAAACCAAATAGTATAAGAGGCTTACAGGACACCAGATATACAAAATCACAACAGATATACACCAAGGCACATTATAATGAAAATGTCTAGCATACAGAATAAGGAGAGAATTTTAAAAGCCACAAGAGAAAAAAAATCAAATTATATATAGAGGGAAACCAATTAGGATATCTGCAGATTTTTCAACCCAGACCCTGAAAGCTAGAAGATCCTGGGACAATATATACCAAGCTCTGAAAGAAAATGGATGCCAACCAAGAATCACATCCAGCAAAATTAAGCTTTAGATTTGATGATATAAAAACCTTCCATTATAAACAAAAGTTAAAAGAATAGAAAGCCTGTACTACACAACATCCTCGGCAAAATATTCCACGATGAGGAAGTGAAAAACAACAATGAAAATAAGCAGAGGGAGGTAAACCTTTATAGCATCTTTACATGCCCACACAATGTAAGCATAGTTTTCTGTTATCAAGAAACTTACAATTTGGTAAGAGGAAAATTAAAATCAATTATGTAATTTGAGAACAATTAAATGGTAATGTTAGAACCTGACTGGTAATGTGGAAAAGTATTAAGAGAAAGAACTCAAGAGGGTGACAACGTAGATTTTAGGATACTATTTAGATGGATGAAAGAAAGGGAAAAAAGAATGGGATGAAGATTTATATGGATACCATAAAAATGACCATGCCAGGGGGAAATCTGTGTTGCAAAGAAATAAAAAGTTCTGCATAAGAAAGGCATATTATAGAGCCTTAAATGTCAGATGGAGGAGATTAGGCTTGATAGAGTACGCAATAGGGGGTCATTTAGATTCCTGAGCAAATTAGAACAATTATAGTAATGGCAGTTTATGAAAATCATCCTGGGAGTGATACATAGTTTGGATTAGAAGGGCAAGGAGGCACTAGCGGAAGATATATTGATCAAGGGTTTGTTATGGAGTTAGGTATGCAGTAAACAGGATGTGGACCTCCTTGGGAATGGAGAGGATGGAAAACAGAATGGATGAAGGACTAAGACTAGTGTAAAAATGGCTCTAAAGCTTCTACTCCATGAAATACAAAGACTCCACTGACAGAAACTGGTTAGTCAAGAAAGGGGATCATTTGGTAGGTGGGCAGAGTAACCAGCACAATCCTGGGCATTGGTGGAAATCGATGGGCAATGGTGCACCTATAGGGAACTGTTCCTACAAGTACACCAAGATCAGATCCCAAGATGACAGAATTGGAATCGTAATGTGAAGAACACAGGGGGAGTCATTAAGAAAAGATCAGATACTTCAGAATATAAAAAACTGGGGTGTGGACAGAGAAATTGGACACACCAACACAGAATAGCACCATGAAGGAAAATGGAAGTAGAGTCTGAAGAAAAAGAATTTTAAAAGGAAGGTGGTTTGGTACAAATGTCACAGAAAAGTCAAGAATGACAAATATGATGGGCTTTATCTAGAGGTTATCATTGATCTTTGTAAGAGAAGTTGCAATAGAATGACAGGGACTCAAGTGCAGGAGTCTAAATCTGAAGAGGAAGAGTAAGAAGCAAAGGTGGTGGAGCCGTCTAGTCTATTTTTGACTTAACGGAAGGAAAAGAATTGAATGGTAGCAGTTGTAAGAAATACTTACAGGGGGGTTATGAGGTGCTAAGCACTGTTTTAAGCATAGGCTATGTAGGTCATTTGCTCTGTTCAGGAACCCTATGAAGCAGATATCATCTCATTTTATAGATGGGAAAACCAAGGCACAGGGAAATGAAATAACTTGCTCTAGGTCATGCATTTAGTAAGTAAGAGGGCTGAGATTTGAACCTGAGCAATTTCCACTCTAGAGCCACAGAGCTCTTAATTGCTTTGCCCAGCTCCCTCTTTAAGCAAAGAAGTAAAAGTCAACCAAATTAACACAAAGTTTATATTGATAAGGCTTAGGAATGTTTGAAGGTAGAAGGGAAAAAAAAAGAAAGAGAGAGATTTCAAATTGCTATGAGGTGAAGATTACTGGGGCCAGATACTGGAATGGGCTCAGGATGACAGGGAGCAGGTGTGCTTCAAGGAATGGAGTGCTCTGAGATTAAAGGGGTGTGGGAGCTTATGCTGGCGTGTGCTACATGGCACGCATCAGTGTTCTCCTTGTGTCTCAGGGAAGGGAGCAGTCACTTGCCTGTAAGGCTTCATGGAGGTTGCCATTGTAGTCTATGATTTCGGTGGCTCCTTGATCTCCTTTTTGCCCAGGTGGACCCTACAACAAAAATGAATTGAGGGAACACCATGGGAGTTAGACTGGTGTATAACAGGACTATAGAAAACACAGAAGCAAAGCTGGGGTTGTGGCTCAGTGGTAGAACGCTTGCCTAGCACATGTGAAGGCCTGGGTTCGATCCTCCGCACCACATAAATATAAATAAAATAAAGGTATTATTGCATCCAACTACAACTAAAAAATAAATATTAAAAAAAGAAAACACAGAAGCAATATCTTGTGGCTCTCTCTGACTATTGCTTCCTCGCCAGGACCCAAGTGCAAACCACTTCTAACTTCCTGTCTGTGGTAGGTAAAAGATTTTTGAAAGACCTATGATTTAAACTCTGAAACCATTTTCTGAACATTATACAATACAGGCTAATCTGATGTGATTTACAAAATTTTATTAGCTTTATTCACATTTATTTTAAAACCTCCTATCCGCTTTCCACTCATCTATACCTGATAGATTATACCTTCTCATTCCTTAAGAAGATAGAATAACGTTCTATGGGAAATGCTTGGCTTTCCTAGTGGGAATAGAATCCCATGAAAAGGAAGCCAAATAAGGAACAAAAAGAGACTTCTACTCGATTCATTATATCTGCTACATAATTTCCATTAGTCATGTCCTAATTCCCTGCCTGTTTTAAAAAATACTCTAAACAAATGGGCTATTGCTCTCTTTATAATTGGGTTAATTGAAACATGGGAAATTCTATTATCTGTATGGCTGTAGGCTCGCTATTACTCCTTTGTCAGAAGGAAAGTTTTACACCTTCTCAATAAAGCTTATTGCACATGCTAGAATGTCCACACTCACTGCATGTGCTAGAATGTCCACACTTATTGCTCCTGGAAACAAAAGTCAAAAATAAAGAGAAGGGAGAAGGGAAGGCAGCAGGAATATTTAGAGTGGCCCTTCTCCAATGCTATTATCGGGCATTATTAGTCCAGATGGCACTCATAAGGTCACATACACACATACTACATCAAGTCTGAGTTTGTAGGGGGCAAAAAAGTTGATATAAGAGGGTTCACTTACCCTTGGTCCCAGAGCTCCAGAGTCTCCTTTGTCACCACGGTCACCCTTTCCCAATTAAAAAAGAAAAAAGTTAATTAGTAGTAGGACCAATGGTCTAGAAATTTCTCAAGTCTAAGGATGTATTTATACCATAGTGCATCCCTTTAAATATAAACTTCTGATGTGGAAAACAATAACAATCACCACCAATGCACCAATGCAAATGCTTTTTTTTTTTTTTTTTTTTAAGATGCACCTTACAGGGCTGGGGTTGTAGCTCAATGGCAAACTAATCTTCAGCACCACATAAAAATAAATAAATAAAGATATTGTGTGTATCTACAATTAAAAAATTTAAAAAACAAAAAGATGCACCTTACAGGTAATCACAACTTCCCTTTCAGATAATTATTGTCTTGGAACAATAGTATAGTTTATATAGTAACTTTGCTAGGTGGAATCTACATAAACAAAGCAAGTGGTTTCTACAGCAACCAAAGTCCATACGAACTGAGCTATGTTCTTTTTAGTTAGAGGGATTTGGGGCAAAGGGAAAAAAGGTCAAACAGTTGTGTTGCCTGTTTTCAGAGAAGAAACATATAGATAATTGGGACAGAGAGGAACAGAGAGCTCATTATAGGGAGAATTAGGAAAGTAGGGTCACAGACTAGACCTCCTTTTGATGATGGAGATCTAAGGCAAAGTTCATCTGCAGGTATAGGCATTTTAACCCTTGGTGCTGAAGTGGACAGCAGCCAGTGGGAACAGGTTGGCAGGGACGAAGGTCAGGGGCAGGGCAGTGCTTTCTCCCCGTCCCCCTTCAATCCAATATAAAAACTCTGAAATTTTATTTATGATGTCAGAACTCTACTTGTAAAGACACTATGAATAGTCTAAGCCCTCAAAATTAGTCCAAACTGCAACTTTGGAGAAAACATTTCAAACTGTGTAGATTTGAAGGTTCTTGAAAACAGCTTAAATTTAGAGACCTTTTCCTACATGGAATTCAAAACATTTTTGTCTTTCTACCTATCTCTATGAAATGGGTAAGAAAGGTAAGAAAGGTAAGAAAGGAAAAGGATGCTAAATTTACCCATCCACATAATGATGCTAATAACATCACCCATAATAATGTAATTTGCTGTGAATGGAGAATTAATAATCTCCAATTTCTGCTTTCTTCATTTTGTACCCATTTTTCCATGTTATCAGCCAATGGTACTTTAATTAACTGTTAATGACTCTGCCAACAGCGCATATGTTCTTGCAGACAAGATAAAGAACACCACAAAGAAAAGGAATTTAATTGGTGGGCAAATTTTAATGCAATGAAGGAAGTCACCTTATTTAAAGGCAAAATATAACTTGAATATTTATCATAAATATAGGCAGGAAGTGAAAAGTAAGATTATACAATTAAGTACTTTTTTCCCCAAAGAAGTGCTAAAAACAAAAAGAAAATATAACTTATCAAAGAAAGACCTACAGCACAAGAACATACAAAAACAAAAAGATAAGACAATTTTTTGATATTATCATAGGGACAAAATTATTGCAATCCCTGTGTGTGAAAGCTTTTAATCTAAACATGATTCTCCATGGAAAAGGCAAAAAGGACAGATCGTGAGGCCTCAAGTTACATTAAAATGTTACCCAGTTACTGACCTTGGACCCCTTTGGGCCTCTAGTTCCTGATTCACCTTGTTTCCCCTATGACAGGAGAAGATGAAGATGAAAAGGGAAAATGACAGAGGAGATAAGAACAGGAAAAGGAAATTAGCAGTGACTCAGAATAACGAGGAAACAGGGAAACACTTTATTTTAACGGCCTCAATATGTATATGGCTGGTGAATACAACACTAAGCACACATATCATCACCGTATCATTAGTTCGCTCCCTGGTTTTTCCATCAGCCTTCATTCCATTATTACTCTGAAGACAGCCCTCCCCCATCAGTGGATGGGAAGAGTACTGTAAGTAATTCTCAACAATGCTATCAAAGTAGTCTCAACAATGCTCGTCTGCATAAATTTCCTTTTCATCAGATTGTAAATCGTTTCCCATAGCTCTCGGATAGGTTATTAAAATAAAGTGTGGCCACATTAGTTTGCAGGAAGTTTAGATGAATCAAGATTGAACAGGTAAACAAATCCTTAGCTCTAATATTTTCAAGGTTTTACACTCCATCAAGTTACCATGGAAATGAGCACAGCACTTACCAACAGAGATTTTTCTCAGTAGGTTTTAATACACATCAAGTGATAACAGGTTAATATGACGGTATTCTCCCTTTACACTTGAATGTGTCATTAAATTTGTTCACTGAACTGAACAGAGTAAACAGGGAAAGTTGAATTATAAAATCCCTTTTGAAAACAAGCAATCAGTATGCATTTCAATAAGTTATTTCTAATTTTAGCTGTTTTAATACCTGTTGAGGAATTTTCTACAAAATGTTCTACAGGCAAGTGGCAGGCATTCCTAAATCAAAGAGTGTTCTCTTTCAATGTAAGCATAACTGACCTTTGGTCCAGGGACTCCAGGATCCCCTCGCTCACCTCTTCCAGGAGGCCCTGCCTCCCCACGTTCACCCTGTCACAAATTAGAAGACAGGTAAATGACACGCCCAGATGGGTCAGTGTGGATACTAAATAAATTGAATAAAATAAAAATGAGCAAAGAGTCACCATTTACTTACTATATACTCAGCACTGTTCTCATCTCTTCACTGAATTATCCCATTTAATAATAAAAAACAATCTTTGCTGGTTAATTTAAGTGTCTGGATTAAGGAATACCTAGAGATCTGGTAAAGCGTTATTTCTGGGTGAGTCTGAGAAGGTTTCCAGAGGAAATTGGCATATAAGTCAGTGGACAGAGTGGGAAAGATCTACCTTCCATGTGGATGGCCATCATCAACTTGGCGGGGGGCTAGGCAAAACAAAAAGGCAAAATCTCCCTCTACCCCTCCTAGACCAAGGACACCCTTCTTTTCTTGCCCTTGGACATCAGAACTCCAGAGTTCAGCCTTCAGACTCCAGAGTGTGCACCAGTATTCCCTGTGTTCTCAGGCCTAAAGCCTTAAAGAATCAGTCAGCTGCCCTGGTTCTAAAGCCTTTGGACTTGGACTGGGTCACAAGAATTGGCCTCTCTGGACTCCCTCCTGCCTGCCGATGGCCTATTGTGGGACTTCTTAGCCTCCTTATCACAGTAGTCCATTCCCCTAATAAATTCCTATCCCTCCATCCATCTTGGTTCTGTCTCTTGGGAGAACTCCAAACTAACATACAATTATGCAGCATTCCCATTATCATCCCCATTATATAATCAAATGGCTAGGCAAATGCCTGTCAGATGGCTATGTTGTTAAATAGAAAGCCCTTTAAAGAGAATTGATAAAAGCTATCATCTATCTCAAGACAGGAATTGACATTAATTCTCATTCTGCAGTCACTTTTTAAGTATTATTGTCAAGAAGCATGGCATAGTGGTTATTTCTCAGGCTTTGTAACATGTAAGATTTTAATTCTCTGTCATTTGCCAGCTCGGTATTTTGGGACAAGTTTGTTAAATTCTGAAGGCCTCAGTTACCCTGATCTCAAAACTTCAGAATGGTGTAAGACAGAAGAATTGTAGCTTTTTCAAATATTAGTAGCTCTGTGAAGTCTAAAGATGCTTACTGTCCTCTAGGAGCCAGTGACCTAATTAGACAAGATCCACAAGAACAAATCCATTAATAATTAAGGATTAATGTAAGGCTCTATGTGACAGAAGAGGAAACACCACTGAACCTTAAATGTTGTCGACTAGCTCTCTGGAGGTGAGACTCAAATCACATCCTAAAGGGTCTATAGGGCTTACTTTATAACCACTGATGAGGGCAGGAACTGTACAAAATACATGCATTAACCTATTTAATTCTCAAGACAAACAAGACAGATATTCACATTCTACAAAGAAACCAAAAATGAGAGCTGTTGCCCAAAGTAATAAAGCTTTTAAAGAAAAAGAGCTGAAATTTAAAACTGATTACGCTCAATCTTCAATTATTGCATAATTGTATACCAATTTTGTATATTCTCTAATCATTTTCATAAGATAAATTCCTAGTTGGGGAAATTCCTGGGTTAAAAGTATGAATGTTTTTAAGTCTTGCCAAAGATGGTGCCATTTTATGTTCTCTAGAGACTGTTTTGTTTCCTACAAGATGGGTAGAATTTCAATAATCAGACTTAGAATTCAGACAGTGGATGGTGTGTTATAGAAGAGAGAGTTGCCTTCCTCACTGAAGAAACTGATTCATTTTGGAAAGGATAAGAAAGAAGGATTGGATCCAGGATGGGTAACACAGGGCTCCAAATTCAGAAATCCTTTTCTGCAACATGCCCACTTTGGGAAGCCTTTGTGGTTCTGCAGGTGATGTGGGACAGGAATGAAAGACTCAGTAGGTGTCTGAGCAGCAACAGAGGAGGGTGTGAAGATGGGAGGCTGAGAGAAAGGCCAGGGGCTTGACCGGACACAGAAGATGGTAAAGATGGTCCAGAAGCCGAGGGACTTCCTTCTATTTTTGTCTTTTGATCCCTCTGTAACAGAGTGAGACTGAAGGACTTCTCTTGGCATATGGAATTTTTATTAACTATAAGATTATCTTAGGGAAAAATAAAAACCTAAAAAAATCAATGCATCCGTAGTTTCCTATAGTAGCGAAGTCTACATATCTTTACATGGAATCACTTTTTTTTTTCTTCTTTTCTTTTTTAAATCACAATGCCCCTAACTAGTTTGCCTGAAATACTATTTGTTTGTTTATTTCTTTTTCTCCTTCTGCCCCTTCCTCACCCACAGTGGATGTAAGCTTTAGGAGGGGAGAGAATGTTTGTGTTGCATTGACTCTCCTTTCTCAATACCAAAAAATCAACCAAACAAACAAAAAAATCCGGAAAAACTTCACTGACTTAATAAATACACAATGTTACTCAGAGTATTCTAAAATAGTCTGATGAAAACATAATTTCTTTAGACAGATGTAGGTTCCTCACAGGCACTGATGTAGGTGCTCAGGACACACTACAGACTTTCAGATGAGATTATACATCTTTCTTCACTATGATTTCTCTTTGCTGGTGTTGGGAAAAAAATGCAATCTTATTTTATTTTTTAAATCTGAAGCCAGTGGTACAAATCCAGACTGACTATATGAATAGAAAAGAGTACTGTTCGATGGAGATTTTAACATAATCATAACTCTTACCTTGATACTGAGCTCAAGACAGGCAATTCAGTTGTCAATTAACTTCAAAATATTGCTAATGAAATAAATTTCCTATCCACAGCTCTGCTTGTGAACCCAAGCAAGGACAGCACATTCTTTTACTGGGGGTTCTGAGTAGTATCTGTCATGAAGTATATGGTCTATAGAATCATGCTAGGTTCTTCATGTCTGGATTTTTTTTTTTTTTTTAAATTTGAAACTGTAGAGTAATTTATGATCAGTTAAGTAAAGAAGAGATACTTAGAGATCAATTCCACTCTCTACTGCCTGGGTTTCTTTAATTTTCCCATGTATATAAACAAAGTGCACCAGCATTTACAGATGCAGTCCATGCTGGTTTTCTCCTACAGTGACCAGCCCTCCCCTTTGTGTGTCCTGCTCATCTTCAAGGCTGCTTCCTTTCCTCCCCCAACACACAGCAGTTCTTAGATCAACAGGGAATGCTCATTATTCTCTTGCTTTCTCTCTTTTTCTTCCAGAAAGGCTTTTCTTGTGTGAATCTGTTCAGGCTAAAACAGGCATTCCTCATACTTCACTAATAAGCCTGACAGCTCATTATGTGGCAAAAAAAAATTTTCTTAAGAAAATAACAATTTTGTATAATTCCACTGAGTTTCAGACCCCCTTGGCCACACATAGTTTCCATGTACAAGGATTAGAGTTATTTTTACTTGACCAGCGGAAATGAGGACTAGTCCTGTCAGAACAGATCATGAACATATTTCTTTAACTCTTGGAAATCATCCCTGGCTTTCTTCTGGGGAAAACAATATACATTGAGGCAAAGACCATATAAAAGTGGTATAAAAATAAAAGAATGTAGTTTGATGTCATTTCCCCCTCCTTTGATTCATGCGTCTGTCATGAGTTCAGTTCTATCATCAGAGCTGTACTTTTTTTATGTCTTACTGGGTAGATAAAGAGAATCCTGGGTCTGACTGTCTCTGCAGCACCATATAAACCTTTTGCTTTTAGAGTCCTCTCTATGGCTACCATGTCAAGGAGCATGAGATGGTTTTCATTACAGAATATTTCTGCAGTTATCATTCAGGGTGGAGCCTTTTGGAAAAAAAAGCACTTGGAAATCTATATGATATCTGTACTTGCCTTTGAAATCTAGGGAGCGATAGGAATAGTAATAATGTTTGATTTACAAGTATATCCTAAAGTGGGTGATGAGCAGCAGGAGTTAATGAGTTATCTCCCTCCTCTTCACAGTTCCTCTACTGTTCCATAAGGCCAGAAGGTTAATAGCATCATAACAATTTAGGAGGGATCTGGAGGACAAGTTAACAATACATTCCACAAGTCTGTTGTCTTGCTTAAGGGTTTCTGGAATTGACTTTCCTTTGCTCTATTTAGTAATGGTGATCTCTCTAGAAGTGCCATTAATGGCACATTAGACTGCTTTATTTCTTAAGGCAGAAATATCTGGTCACCTCTTTCAACAAGTATGACAAAAATTAAAAAAAAAAAAAGGAGCAGAAGAAAAGACTCCACTTACTTTTGTTCCTGGTAATCCTGGTAAGCCTGGTTCCCCCTGAGGACCAATGAAACCTGGTTCTCCCTTTGAAAAGATGGGCATATAAGATCACTGTTAATTTGACAGTAAATAAAGCTAAATTCATTTCCTCCCTTTGGTATTTTACTTCCTTGAAAGTATACTACAGTTTTGCTGAGATCAAGTTATTGTCTATAAAATTAATCAGAACTGGTTTTGATCTAATGAAAACTCTTTGAGAAATACTCTGGAAAATTAGATCAATTGTTTCACATTTTTTCCCTCATCTGTTTTCCAATGGATTTTTTTTTTTTTTAATCACTTACCAAATTAAGACCGGTTGTGATTGGGTGATGTGGTAGGTGTCCTCTAAGATGGGCTTCAGTGATCCCACTCCTGTGTATCTGTCCTTGTGTAATTCCCTCCCCTTGACTATGACCAGATTTACTGACTCACAGCTTATGAACAGAATATGAAGAAGTGATGGGATAGTATAAGCTGTAAAAAGACAGACTGGCTTCCACTTGGGGAGCCTCTCTTGTTTTTTCTCACTTGGATCTCTTGCTTTGGGGAAGGAAGCTGCCTTATTGTGAGCAGCCCTTTAGAGAGGCCCACACTGTAGAATGAAACCAACCAACAACCACACATGCAAATTTGGTCGTGGATGCCCCAGCCTTGTAGAATGTGCTGTAAGACATAGTCTTGCTGACTATTTCACTGCAACCTCATGGGAGATTCTGAGCCAAAGGCACCTAGCCATTCTGTGCTTGTATTATAGTCCCTCAGAAACTGTGAAATAACTAATATCCATTGTTTTAAAGTACAAAGTTTTAGGGTAAGATGGTAGGCAGCAATAGATAACTGTTATGATAGATATAGCTAGGGAAGAGACTCAGGAATGGAAAGCATGAAAGATAAAAATCTTCCTTGCCATATCTGCAGAATCATTATTTCCATCATCTGTAGAAACTCCAGTTGTGGTGTAATTGGACCTACATTTGGTCCTGGTCCCCAACTCTTGGCACAGACCTCTTAAAACCCTGGGAATATTCTTAATGATAGAGGTAAGGGACATTTGTTACTCTTAACAGTCTCTTCCAACTATACCTGATTTTATGCAGATGAAGTGATTCTTGTTGGGCCCCTAATTAGCTTTAAGATGGAGAACTGACTGCCAGAGGAACCAACCCTGTGATTAGAGGGTTGGAACTTACTGGTGTACCTCCTGATCTCCATCAGGGGCAGATGTCTGGAGATTGAGCTCAATCACCAAAGGCCAGTGACTTCATAGATCATGCCCATGTAATGGAACCTCATTAAAACCCCCAAACAGCAGGGACCTAAGAGCTTCCAAGATGGTGAACACATTTAATGCCAGGAGGGTAGACCATTCCAACTCCACAGGGAAGAGGCTTTTTGAGCTCAGGACTCTTCTAGATCTTGCTTCTGTACTATTCACCTGGCTATTCCTTTTACCCTTTATAAGAAACTGAAATAGTAAGTATAGCATGTTCCTGAGTTCTGTGAGTCATTCTAGCAAATCAGCAAACCTGAAGGGGGTATTGTGAGAACCTGTAAGTTTGTAGTCAAGTCAGATGTAAGTGCCAGTAACCTGGGAATTTCATACCTGCTACTGGCAAAGGGAAATGAGGTCACTCTTGTGGGACTGAGTCCTTAGATGTGTGGGGTCTGGTACTAATTAGAGTAGTGTCAAAATAGGATCGAATTGTTCATGTCAGAAAGCTGGAAAACCGGTGTTGGAAAAGACACCACATATTTGGTGTCAAAAACGAGAAGAAGAAGAATAACAAAAACCTGAACCAGTATTCACATTGTCTTGAATATAATATTAAGTTTTATTTTCTTTTTAACTATGAAAGCTCAAGGGCCCAACTACCTAAAATATATACCAAAAATTTCAAGCAAACCTATAATGGCTTTGTTCCCATATTTACTCCCTGCCCCTTGGATTACTTCTGGAGTAGTTGTTCATGTTGTTTGATACACTTGATGTTTTCCTAATGCAGCAATATTTCAAACTTGGTCTTATGATACTTGGAGCTAAGCAGAAAAGTACTGAGAGGATGTTCTAGAAGATATGTTAAAATGTTATCTAATATATTTCAAACAAGTGAAATTTAAAATCTACTGTGCAAAATATGGGGTACTGGGTGGGGAACAAAGGCTATCATGCTACAAAATGCATGTTGATACACAGCTCAAACAGATTTACTCTAACCTAGGTGCTCCTGGTACTAATCTAAGAAAATAAAGTTAAGTGGGGCATTAATGCTTTAGGTTTATTGCCTACAAACCTTTTACAACTACTCTACATATCCCATTGTCTTCCATCTAATGGAATGGAGAATTAGAACAAATCATTTTGTTCTAACAAAATGGATGTCTTCATAGTTCAAAATAAAAATATGAACTCTATTCAGAAAAAATAAATGATTACCATTATACTTCTATGGAGAGTTTAACTTATTTCACAAACAAAAACAATACATGCATTTAAAATTAAAATATTCCTAATAAAATGATATGTACAAATAAATATTCCCTCATTTTCAAAAAAGAAAAAAAATGCTCACTGAAGTCCACAATAAAGTCATTAATAAAGACTTACTGTCACGAAAATGTAATACAATCTAATAGGTTGAAAATTTCAGATTAGAAGGGAACCTTACATATCTTCAAGGAGAAATAAAATGACCTGTTTAGGATATCAAATAGTTGTAGCCCCCTTAACACATACTAATAAAAAAGAAGAAGAAAAGTAAATGCTGCGGAAACATATTTCTTATTTAGGTTAGTGTTTAGTTTATAAAAAGATGAAGCATGCAGTTACATAATTCACAAATAAGTAAGGTTTTGCGACCTCAGTGTTCTGAGACAAGTGTTTTTTCATCATTTTTGGAAACAGAACATATATTAAATTTTTCTTAGAATATAAAAAATTCCTATGAATAGAAAGTTCAGGAGTAAAATTTTTATTTCAAGATATAAAATTAGAATGTATTTGATAGTACTGACAATTTTGGCACTATTAATATTTGCTAATTTTATAGGCTTTGATTATGACCATTTTTATCTGATAATTCCATATTGATATATTCTGAGAGTCATATTCTTATATTACTTTATTCAAGGAGTCAAATAGCATACTTTTAGGATCTCAGTTTTAAGTTCAGTTATTTCCAGAGCTCTAAGTCACTTTAAGGACATTCCCTCCATTTTCTCTGTGTCTTGGGGGGACAGGAAGGAGCTAATTATTGGTATCTTTTCTCTCTCAGGCTTCAAAAACAGTTATTAATGTAAACAGGGCATGAGTATGTCTACTTGTGATCTTGAGCCATTTGGACTATTTCTTACCTCCCTAAACTTATAGCATAGGTTCTCAAAGTATGCTCTGGACCTTTTCAGGGAATCCTAAAGGTCAAACTATTTTCATAATAGTACAAAGACATTATTTGCTTTTCTATTTTCATTTCCTCAAGAATGCAAATTATGAAAATTTCATGATATGGTTTTATATTTTATACTGCACTTAATGTTTAAGAAACTGTTACTATGGAGTTTGGGAGTAGCAAAGAATATCAACAGTAATCGAATAGACTATTGAAATAACCTTCTTGTGTCCAATTACATATCAGTATGAGACTGTTTTTTTCTTCATATACATCAGCCAGAACAGCCAACTGAACAGACTGACTGTAGAAGCAGATGTGAGATTCCGTTACACCAGACAATCCTCTTCAAAAAAAAAAAAATGTATACCAATATTATTCTCCTTAAGAAACATTTTTCAGTCTCATTTTGGAAAATTCAGCTATATTTAATAAAATGTTATTTAATATAATAAAATTTTCTAACACAGAAATTCAATAGATAAAACCTACCTAAACAAAAGCTCTTTAGGAGTGTTTAGGGGTTCTCAGACTGAGTGTTTGAGAACTGTAGGTACAGAAGTGGAGAGTGGAGATGAAGTCTGACTTTTGCAAACTGGAGTCTTTGAAGCCAAGAAATGGAAGATTCTGGCTTCACCAAAGGGTGCTTAGTCAAGACTTACTGTAGGATAATGTGAGCACAACATAGCATCCTCCCCAGAATAAAGTGTACATCATATACCTATTATTTTTTCTTTATGGGCTCAAATATGTTAGTTATCATTAATATTAGCTAATATTCCAACATTTCTGCATCCTAACTGGTGCATCACCTAAAGGTAATCTCTTAACACCTTCAACCACCCTAGGAAAATGCTCAATAACTCTTCAATTTCTTTCAAGAAGTAACCCTAAATTTTCTCATGTGAACATACCATTTTATGAGACAGAACCCACCTGCCAAGGCATTTAAGATTGCAAAACCAAAAGAAGTTTAAAACATATCAGAACCATGTAAGGTAGAAGAGACAGGTTTACTAAGAATGAGTTGTCTTTCTTTTAATACAGGAGGATAAGAATCATACCTATTGAATTTCCCTAAATAAATGTAATCCTTTCAAACAAATCTAGTTTCTTTGTGGAGGAGTGATGTATAGTGTAAATGTTCTAGAATTCCCTAAACTCTCTAGAGAAGGACAATGACAATCTAAAATTATGTAATAATACTTTCTTGTGATATAAAAATTAAGCAAATGGTTCTTCTGCTCTAGTCACAATTCCTAATTTGCAGGATAGACAAAGGAGAAGGTCAGGGGAAAAAATAAGAAGCTGAAATGATTCAAAGTCATAGCACTTCGGAATAATCATATTTAGAGAAAAATCAGAATATACCAGAACAAGATTACATGTCTGCAGAGCAACAAACAGGAAAAATAACAATTTATACTGGAATATATAATGATTCTAAAAGCTGTTTTGCATATTTAATCTCACTGAATGAACACAAAATAGAAGAATGCTAAGTTGAAAATTATTCACATGTATTCATCTGAATAGACAAAGTGGGGAGAATACAATAGAGGAAATCCGAACTATAATGGAATTAAACTCTGACATTACTTTTAATGAAGAAAAAAATAAATTAGAGGATTTTTTCAAACTAGGCAATTGCTGAAT